TCGATACCTGTACCTTCAAAGTTCGGGAATCTTCTGGGTGGTTTAGGCGACCCCTACGAACTACGGAATTCCAGTGCTTTAGCTACAATATCTGAAACATACATGCGGATTCCAACAACTCCAGTCACGCATTGGCCTTGACAAGTCAATGCACCTCGCAATTGCCAATGTGTCAATTTGCGGATGTTTGTAGGGCTCTTTTCCGGAGATTTCAGCAGAGATATGCAGTGCTGCGGTCGGAAGAGGCACTGTTTTTGTGCAAACAAGTTGGGATCTTGGACAAACTTGCGGGCTGCATTGAGTCATTGACCCCCAAAGCTTGCTGACCTGTCAGAAGCCGCTTTGCAAAAGTGGATATATGTTGGGGAGTTTTTGGAGTTTCTGGCCCGCGTGGCAAACATTGCTACGATGTCCAGGATCCCGCCCAGCTCATCTGAAGAGCGTTGCGCCAAAAGGAGGTGATTCCCACTATGGTGTCAGTCCAAACCAATGTCAAATGGGTATCAAACTTCTTGGCTGCTCTGAAGCGACAACCCCCTTGCCCTCCAACAATCTTACACGTAATTAGTGAAGATTTACCGACTGATTAGCTCCGGTCGGCTTCGCGTCTTTTTCAAGCCGCGCAGAAGCGCAACGATTGCCCGTCCCCGCGAGGCCCTTCTCGCAACGGCTCTCCCCGAGGCCATTCGGCAGGAAAGTCCGCTGGCAAAATGTTTGTTGCAGCGGTGTCCGTCACGAATTTTCTCAAGTTTCTGGACGACATACTGACGGCCGATGCCAAATCGAGCTCCCTGAGCACCCTTAAGCCTTTTTGGCTCGCAGCAAACGTCCGCGGCGGCGTGCTCCGTTGCCTTGCAACGCGCGTCTGACGGCAGGCCAAGTTTGGCGGCTGGATTGCGATCCGTCGACGCAAGGCAAGTACTGGACGCTGTAAAGCTCCAAGTCCAAGCCATAGCAAGTTGACAGTCGGCGGCGCAGCGCCCGCGAAATCTCCACCACCTCATCCTTCTTGCCAGTCAGCTCTTGGACAAGAATGCACGCTGCTGGCCCGAAAGTGGTGTACTCCCTTGCCAAGGCGTCAGCAACGTCAGCACCAGCAGGCACCAAGTGGCGCAGCAACTGAGCATGAATTTTGGACCGCGCGTTCTGGGAATACTCAGTATTGGAATTCTTGGTGATCGCGTCCTTCCAGCGGCTGCGAAAAGCAACCCTAGGGCAGGCGGGGTCTCCTCACCAGCCCTGCTTCCGCTTCACCATCGGCAGCGGGCTCCTCCTCCTCGCGCAGCTCCTCGTTACCATCGTCCACCTCACCTTGCTCGTCGCCTTGCTTGTGGCGCGGAACGACGCGACGGCCGTCAGTGCAGCTGTAGAAGCAGTTCAGCTCGCGCCGCGTCAGTGCCACAAACAGAAGCCGCCGATACACCAAGCTGCTGGTGGCGCCAGTCTGACCACGCACGTCCACAGCCAGCGTCGCTGCAAAGCACTCATTGTCCCAGCCATCCTCCACGACAAACCGCTCGACAAAAGACGCGTTGCCTGTGTACACCGAAATCTGAACAAGCTCCAGCCAAACTCACAGCAAACGGTCTTCCTGTGGGCTCTCAGGCGGCGCTGCGCCAGCTACCTCAGCCAGCGCCCTGAACAAACGAACGTGCTGCTGAGCGCGCGGGCGAGCAGGGGCGTGCAGGGCATCTTGCAGCTCCTTCAAGCCCCATGACGCTGTGTCAGCAGGAGCGCCGCGGGCATCTGGAAGGCCGTGCCTGTGAAAAGAGCGTGAAACGCAAGAAGCTCAGCCAAAGCTTCTGCTGGGACTCTTGCACCCCGAGCTCCGTGCCCACGCCAACCGCACGTTGCACGCCTTGCTAATCGAAGCCTAGCAAAACATGTGTAAATATCACTGGCAAAGGTTATGCCAGAAGAAACCTTCAGCTTCTTGCTCGCGGGCTGTTGCAACTCCCGGCCCTGCTGTTCTTTCTCCTCCAACTCAGCGTCGCAAAGCAATGGGCTCTGTAGGAACAGGGCCATAGCCTGAAATGGACCACCCTCTCTGCCTACGCTGACTACTTGCCTGTGTCGCTTGCTCATGTTGTTATTGCCTTGGCCAATGACTTGTAAATCCCTTGGTGATTATGGGGAAATTGGTAAGTCCTGCCATGTCCCTCCCAAACTGACAGTGGACTGGTGAATAGTTTGACCGAACGGCTGCAGCCCTGGACGCGCTTGCAGCTCACAGGCTGTTCTTTGCCACTAGTGATACCAACATCTGCCTTTGGGAACTGCTGCAACTAATTACCGCAAGCCAACACAAACCTCAAAAACACGCATATCCACTCGACACCCTCTGGACATAGACAAATTATGTTTCTGAAGTTTGCGGGGCCCCCAAAATAAATGGTTTGCTTTAGGTGCCCTCTAAAACCAGCCGAAAAGGGGGGCTCCCGTATAAGACCACGGAACTCAAAAAGCAACGATCCCGCCGCTTGAGGGAGCAGCCTCGTGGCGCAGCAACAGAGATCCTGGTAGCGGCCAACGCTGCGTCTCGCGTTGCCGATTTGCCGATCGCTTAGGGCCCATTGCTTTGCGACGCTGTGCTGCTTGTGCTGAGTTGGAGGAGAAAGAACAGCAGGGCCGGGAGTTGCAACAGCCCGCGAGCAAGAAGCTGAAGGTTTCTTCTGGCATAACCTTTGCCAGTGATATTTACACATGTTTTGCTAGGCTTCGATCAGCAAGGCATGCAACGTGCGGTTGGCATGGGCACGGAGCTGGGGGCGCAAGAGTCCCAGCAGAAGCTTTGGCTGAGCTTCTTAGTCTTGCGTTTCACGCTTGCCGTCGCTTTTCACAGGCACGGCCTTCCAGATGCCCGCGGCGCTCCTGCTGACACAGCGTCATGGGGCTTGAAGGAGCTGGACATCGCCTGTGCTGCAGTTGTCTGCAAGATGCCCTGCACGCCCCTGCCCGCGCGCTCAGCAGCACGTTCGTTTGTTCAGGGCGCTGGGCAGCTGGCGCAGCGCCGCCTGAGAGCCCACAGGAAGACCGTTTGCTGTGAGTTTGGCTGGAGCTTGTTCAGATTTCGGTGTACACAGGCAACGCGTCTTTTGTCGAGTGGTTTGTCCTGGAGGATGGCTGGGACAACAATGCTTTGCAGCGACGCTGGCTGTGGACGTGCGAGGTCAGACTGGCGCCACCAGCAGCTTGGTGTGTCGGCGGCTTCTGTTTGTGGCACTGACGCGGCGCGAGCGAACTGCTTCTACAGCTGCACTGACGGCCGTCGCGTCGTTCCGCGCCACAAGCAAGGCCACGAGCAAGGTGAGGTGGACGACGGTAACGAGGAGGAGGAGCCCGCTGCCGACGGTGAAGTGGAGGTGCCCTAGGGTTGCTTTTCGCAGCTGCTAGACGGATGCGACGCTGAGCAGCCAGTCTGCAGTCTGGCGCGAGACAGCGCGAAAATGCGCAACTCACTTGGCCGTGTTCGGGAGTTTTTACTTACGCCAGTTCCAGCATCAAGAATTCCAATACTGAGTATTGCCAGAATGCGCTTGGGCTCAGCTATACCTTTCGCCAACGGAGTACACTACTTTCGGGCCAGCAGTGAGCATGATTGTCCAAAAACTGGCTGGCAAAAAGAAAACTCCTGTTCCATAGCTCAGCGGGTGAGAGTCTTCAGAGAACTTTATTTGGCAACGCATCACCAGTGCACGAACAAGGCACAGAAGCAAGCAGGCCCACAGACAGGCAAACAAGAAAACGAGCAACAGGCAAGGCCGGCAGGCCGGCCGGCCGGCAGGCAGGCAGGCAGGCGCGTGGCAGGCAGGCAGGCAGGCAGGCAGGCAGGAGCAGGCAGGCAGGCAGGCAGGCAGGCAGGCAGGCAGGCAGGAGCAGGCAGGCAGGCAGGAGCAGGCAGGCAGGCAGGAGCAGGCAGGCAGGAGCAGGCAGGCAGGCAGGAGCAGGCAGCAGGCAGGCAGGCAGGCAGGCAGGCAGGCAGGCAGGCAGGCGGGCAGGGCGGGCGGGCGGGCAGGCAGCAGGCAGGCAGGCAGACAGGCAAAAGCGGCATCACAGACACAAGAACCCCTCATCCCCGCATCATCCAAACCGGTCAAAAAAAAACGTAAAACAGCCCGAAATACGGGAGGGGCGGCACCGTTTCGGGTCGACAAAAAAAACCAAAAAAAAAACAACTCTGGGAGCCCTCAAAACAAACAACTCAAAAAAAAGCTGCGGCAATTCACTTTACGGGGGTTGTCCCCAGGGGGTCGGGAGTTATAGCCACCCGGGGGCTATGTAAAAACAAAACCAAATGCATCACCAGCACTCCAACAGCATCATCACCCTCCACCTCCTCCCCCCCCCCGCTAGAAGAGAGGAGAACATAAGAGACAGTTCAAGGCCCTGCACACGCGTACGCGGATCAATCTCCGCGCAACCCCAGATGGGGACTCCTTGGGTCAATCCCCTCAGAGCGCGTGCTCAGGGCATGAAACTGCCTCTGCTGTTCTCCCCTCTTCTAGGTCTGAGGGCTGCCCCCCCCTCCGCACCAGCTGCACTGCTTGAGGGCTCAAGTCTATGCAGTGACAATCTGGAAGCAACCTGGTTGTGATGCCAACCTTTGCCGAATTTTGCAAAACCCCGTGAAAGAGGGTGAGTAGGTCTTCTGTGTCTGCCCCTAGTAGCAGGCGCGTGATGCATTTTATTTGGCTGCCTGCGTTATCATCATATTTCAGGGCTGCCGCCCGGCGCTGCCGACCCCCCCCTTTTTTTTGTGTGTGTGTGTGTGCAGATTTAAGGTTGGCCCATCGCTTGCTGTTGCCTTGGTTGATCGCAACAAAGGCATTGCTGCATTCACAACATCTTGCCAATTGTGCCGCAAAGGAATGGCGCAAAGGTACGCGTTCGCTTGTTTCACCTCGAAGAGGCAGCTGTAAAGACTCAACAATACGAAGTCGAACCGTGCAGGTTGAGGATTTCAAACGGAAGGGTGGCTTTCTTCAACTTGAACTTGGAAGCTACGAAAAGGACTCTCGTGCATCTCTTGACGTCAGCGCGGGCTCGGCACCCTCCACGACGCTCTCAGCAAGGCCGAGGCCTGCAAAGAAACCCCGCCACATGCACCGCTACTACCTTGAGCATTTGACCAAATGGTCGGCTTCTCTATCCTGCCGCACTGTGGGCCAATATGGCTGTCAAGGGTTCCTTCTTTCGGGTGGCTTGTTTGGGGGGGTCTTTGGGGACCCTCGCCGACTCGGTGAAGCACGAGCCGAGCACCCGGGCGCTCTGCAGCCAGGGCTGCCGAGACCGTGGAAGCTTTGGAGGGCCCCTTGTCAAGCTCCTGGGAGAGCAAACGCACCTCGAACAGGTCCAAGAAGCAGTGTTTTACAGAGATGGGCATCAATTTCAACGGGGGACCTTTTGGTGGACCTCTTTCAGGCGGGGATTCGCGCCCCCAATCACTTTTGAGGTTGTTCTCTATAAGATGGTCATAGCCATGGTTTGCGAGTTGTCCAGGTTTTGGCACCAAACCCAACGGAACAGCTTGCCGTCCAAACTCCCTCCTTCATCTCGCTGAACAGCTCGAGCAGGGCTTCCCAAAATTCGCCTTGCGACGGCTCCCAGGACGATGTGCATGGTGTTTCTTCGCAACCAAAAAGCGCGAGCTCAACAAAGGTCACCCTTAGAACGGGGCAGCCAGTCTAGGGTGAAGTTCCTGCCCGCCCTGACGCACAGCGGGAGTCTTAGGTCCATCATAGCAACTAGACAACTTGGGTCCCTGACTGCATGCAGACCAAAGCTTCATCTGTGAAACACCTTCCCTCACCTCAAAAGGCGTGGTTCCCGCTTCAATGGGGAATGATCCAGTTTTGACGAAGCTGACTGAAGTGGGCATTCATCCACTAATACGAAGTTGACAAACCATGAACGTTTTGAACTCGACATATCCAAGTTCGACATGGAACCTGAAAAGCGTTCTACCCGGCCATTCAAACATGACCATCTTTGAAAATTGACGACATCTGCTCTAATTCCTGAACTGGAAATAAAACAACCTCCCCCCCCCCACCGACCCTCCACAAACTCCGCAAAAAGGGACGTTCATGATGGACTATGTCGCTCGTTTCACACCCAGAAGTGTTCCCTCAACGCCTCAGGCTTTCATTCCCGCCGGAACTCACGGCCGAAATGGCCCCACTCATTGGGCCCGCCGGCTGGCCCGGCAAGCGCGGATGGCCGCCTCATAGGCCACCCTGAGTTTTCGACATTTGCTTCGGCAAAAAAGCGCTTGCAGTCCAAAATGTGATTCCTACACAAATCCATGGATTTCTGTTGCTTTCCTGAGAAGGTGTTGACACCATGGATGACCCTAAACTTGGAGCTTGCACTTAAGTACAATCTACAAAGGGGGGTCACTTATTTTGGATACAGCCATTGTCGCTGCTAGAAACTGCGAAGAGGAATTGGTTGTTTAGGTTCTCCACATTCACGTTTGGGCATTGGCATCTCAGGGCTCGGCTAGGCGGAACACGATCTTTCCAGATACTCAAACAGAAGTGCGTCGTGTACCCGGTCGTCTCTTTAAGGCGGCGAAAGGCCAGAGTCAGGGACTCTTTGAACAAAAAAGCAAGCCACGATTCGCACTCGCCCGGATCCAACAGAGCGGGAGATCACATGATATTGTGCGGTTGGATTCCCGCAGCAACGGTCATGTCCAATGCCCACTGCAAACGAAAACATATTTGATATGGCAGCTTCACACACATACACACACCCGCGCACACACACACACACACTCACCAGGCCTTCACGTGCTGTGCGTTGGCATTCATTTTCCCACCCAAAAGGAACTATAACTGAACCTCGAGGGACTATTTGGAAAGGAAATAACGTAAGACGAACATAAAGAGGGGTGCGTCGCTGCCCGTCGCCTGTCTGGCTCGACGTGCTTCTGCCGCATCTCATCCCAAAGGTACCTCATACGGACCCACGCAGAGACTTTGTGCTGCGCCTTGAGACGCCGTGGGCATCTGAAGCATGAGGTGATCTATGTTGAAGTCTTGTTGGCAAGTATGACCTTCTCAGCTTGGCGTTGCCTCTATTGTTTCATAGAAACCAGGTACAGGAAGTTCTACAGGAAATTTGCCAAATACACAACGAAAAACAGGGTTTTCTGTGGAATGTCCTGTAGCTGGTTTCTTGGATAGTTGATGGTTTCATCTGAGTGCCAAAGCAGGCCCAAATCAGATTGGATAGTTGACCAAAGCAGGCCCAAATCAGTCTGGGTCCCCATCGTTCACAAACACACAGACACAGGGTTGTGGGATCAAGGGGTTTATCCCCACTTCTGTGATACAAGGGAATCCTCTCTTTATATTGGGGTTCTCGTCTTTGGAAAGGTTCTTTGATGTATCACAGAAGTGGATTCCATTTCCCGCAGCCCTCCACCGCAAAACCTGGAAGCCTGGCCACGAGTGTGCGCCATACGGCGTTGGCACCGAGGCCCGGGCAGCGCCTGCTCCGGTTGGCCGGCGGCCTAGAGCCGAGTCGAGAAGCGGCTTGTTTGACTCATGCAAACACCCGCGTGGCACGGGAATCCATGGATCCATTCATGGGCGTTCTGGCAACATCACCCACTGAAGAAAACAAAATGACAGGCAACTCTCTCTAGCTGCACATGTGTGGCTGGCACGCTGACACCGCACAATGCAGGGCGCAAAGCCACGGGCGCAAACCTGCCTCCAAAGCGTGGATCAGGCGGCCGTAAGTCATGTAGGTCGGGTGCACTCCTGAACCGCTGAACCGCTTCTTTTTCTATCGCTACTTGGCTGTGGCTCAAATAATTGTACCAACATGGTCCTTTGGTATATGGAACCAAAGACAAAAACCTGGGTAACCCTAGCTCCTTAATTTTGAGCCACGCCCACTTAGCTGTGGAAGCAAGGGACCTCCAAGACTAAACTTAAGTCAACGGGGCTTTTGCACAGCCGGCGCTTCTAGCCCTTTGCTCCTGAAAAGCCACTATAACAAGGCAAGGCGCCCTTTCCTCCATCTGACCAAGGGACCGTCTCGAAACATGTCGTGCTGAACAAGCCTCTTAAGGCTTCTTGCAGGCTGCAGCTTTTCATGTCACAAAGCTTCTACAAAAATGCAACGATGTAATCTTGTTGACACAGGGAACTTGAACAAATTGTACTTCATGGAGCCACTTCGATGCTTTTGGAACAGTCGGATCGAGCTGTTCGGCCAGTTCCGACCCTGACCCGCCGCAGGGCACGGTGTTTCAAGCCCTTGTTCAGAACACAGGATTTACAATAAAAGAGAACCACTGGAAACAATAGCATATTTGAAAGGTTTAACACTCAAGACAAAGATCGATCAACTTCTGCAAAGAAATTGTCACATTCAGAACAAACGTTGTTCAAGGGAAACAACAGGGGAGCCACCCGTTGTGGAGATTTCGCAGTTTAGAGACAACCCCAAAAAGGCGGGTTTAGGTTGGGCTTCCCTGTGAGGCTGGCTTCAAGCAAATGTTTCCTGAAGTTGGGGGTGTTTGGGGTGGTGCTTTGTGCCGGGTTTAAGACAAAGTTGTTTTTTGAAGAACTCAGAGAAATATAAAGAGCGGCTTTGGGCTGGCTTTGGGATGGTGCGCCTCGTCCATTCAGCCCAAGTGCAAGCTGTGGTATGCACATTGAAGTATCGGCGGCTTGTTGTTTGCCCCAAAAAACGCTCTCTGCTGGATTAGGGTTTGCTTCAGTCGAATATTGGGGTACTTCAGACTAGCATTCCAAAGATCTGCACAAATGCTGACAGGCCATTAGCTTCAATGTACCAAACTCAGCCAGGGCGTTCTTTGCATTCGCTGCGGCGTGTTGTTTTCCAGTCTCAGGGCGCTGCCGGCAGTTGAGCATCACGGGGTGACATCAAGAATGCCAACACCAACAAAAAAAGTGGCGCCCAAATGCAGACTTCATCTGGGCCGAACAGAGTTGGCCCCTTGCCTGCTGCTGACAACGGAAAGGCGCGGTTCGGCACTGAGCCCGGCCTTGCTTCTCCATGTTCTTCAGCTGCGCAACAGCCTTCCTCAGGAGCAAACCACAAAATCTGCCCGTGGCACCCTGATTCAGCTTGCCACCCAAATCCACAACCAGAAAAATACGATAATCGTTTGACATCCATGTGTTGCCTCCTCCGGTGCCTCAAGGCTCCGAAAAATGCAGCCCGGGCATCCAAGGCTTGGCAGAATATTGTTGGGACCGCCTTGCAGAAAATGACCTGTTACAACCTGAATGCTGCAGTTAAGAGCATGCCAAGCCCTTCATAATCGCAGGCAAACCTTCTGCGCAACAACCAAAGGTAAGTGGCACAAGAGTAAAAGATATCATATTTGGAGTTGGTGCTCGGTAGAGGTTCCTTCTCACGATGGACCTTTCAGGGGTGAAAACATTGAGGGCCATCAGTTGACCTGCGTCGGCAGTGTGAGACGGAGGCCTGAAAGTTGCTTAAGACTCAGCAGGCGTGAATGTGTGATTTAGCACCCCTGGCTTGAGTCGGCCCTCAAAGGCTACTGTGGTTTCCTGTTGGCTACCCTTACCCAACGTCAGAGTTTCTGGTTCTAAGACCTGAACTTGAGGTGCATCAGGGGTGGATTTGGGTGGCAAGCTTACTTAGGGTGCTTCAGCAACTTTCAGGCCTCCAGCTCAATTGGCGAGTTCTCCGCACCTTCTCCGTTGCTCGGCTCTGGAGCCCTCGGCTCTGGAGCCCCCGGCTGCAGCTCACCGGCCTGCAGCATGGCGCTCACCAGCACTGTGAAGCTGCAGGCGTCCGGAGGCTGCCTTAAGGCGGCCATGGAGCAAAATGGCATGACCAAATCGGCCAAGCTTCCATGAGCTCAAGCTATGTTGCCGAAAAAATGTGTATTTTCGTGGACAAGAAGGGGGAAAGCCCTCCTTTGGTAGCTCGGCCGCATGGCTCAAGAAACCACCACCACCACTACCACCACCCACCCATCCCCCCCAAATTGGAGGGAGTGGAGCCAAACACACTCTCTGTTCAAAAGAAGAAGACAAATACGAGCACGCCGGAACCTCAGAGCCGCAGGCCCATCCTTCTTCATCTCCCCTAGCAGGTCAAGCACCATCTCCCACTTCCTGCCGGCTTCGATCTCTGGGTGTGTCAAAAATATGGCGCATTTTCCGTGGATGCCTGCATCTGGGAGTTCCAAAATTCACAGGAAACACCCAATCGACAATTTCTGTGAGAGGTTGGTCCGACCCATCTGACATTCTGCAGGCCTGATGTGAGCAATGGTTCTGCCCTTACCTCACAGTGCTGCTGGTTCACCTTCCCATAATTGAGCAGCGAAGATCACAGGAGGGCGGGCAACGTTCGCGGATCAAAATTGATGAGAGAGTAAAGTATAGGTACCTGTCAAACTAGGGAATCCCAAACACGGTGGTGTTTCCCTTAAGCTGACCTGAAAGGGGTACTGCAAACAAACACCATATTGTGTCTATCACGTATATGTTTCCAAAACTCTCGAAATGCCTGGCATGGCTTCCCCAACCGGCAACTTGGTCCCGGGTTTCTGCAGCGCGCTCAAGGCCGTGTTGGTGAACTTCAGCGTAGGCCTCCGCAAGCGTGGGGATAGTTGAATGTATGCAGATCAACTGATTCCTTTGATCTATATTGATACCCTTAGCCTTTTGGCTGATCAATGTTGTTCTTTGAAGATGGAGAGAACTTCTGTGCAACTGCTTCGAAGCACTACAAGTCCGACAGCTTGCCAGACCGACGCCATCCCATGGATGGACCAGAATCCATGTTAGCGAACCATAGCTTGTTGTTGTCGTATCCATCAAGACCCACAGGCAGCTCTCACGCGCACACACGCACACACAAAACAACGCTTGCCGGCACCTAGCGCTGGCCAATCCCGATCCGCAATCCGAATTGGCAAACCACTACAACGGGGACGAGCAAGGATTGTCTTCGAACAGCCCCGCCAAATACCCGAACATCACTCTCATGTCGACGCCTGATCAATAAAGCCTCAACTTCACGAAAACCCTTTTTTGGGTGAAAGCTCCTTTGGGTATGGGGCCCGTCGTTCATAACTGGAACATCACCTAGCTGGAATGTCTCTTTGCAAAGCGAGAGGCATGATGCCCTCATCGCGGACTTTCTGCAGCACGGCCACCGCCTGTCGAGGTTCCCCCGGCCAGATGTTGCGCATTTCTCCCCATGTTGGCTTGAGGCACCGGGATCACACTCATCTTTTGGTCCACTTTGAGAGGAACGATAAACGTGGTTTCCAGGTGTGTTCTCCTTGCAAGTTTTCACCTTGCTCTCCGTGCCTTCATGCATGTCTTGCTTTCCCCATTGCGGCTTCTCACCCACGCCGCTCTCAGCTATTTCCAAGCAGGTGCCAAACGACCTCACGCCTCAAAAGAGGGTCCTTCTCACACGCAATACTGCAATGCATTGTTGTCCCTGACTAAACACAGACATGGCTGTCAAAAATAGGTACCCCACATGGAACCCTAGTAGGCCCGTCATGGAACCCGCAGGTGCCCGCTGCCCGGTCCTCTTGCCATTCGTTCCTTTTCCGGTGGACCATCAGCTCCTCCGCAGTGGATGTTTCCCCGCCATGGGGAAAAAGGGCGCAAACAACTCACGGAGGAGGAGGAGAAGCTGACCATCACCCATCCCGTGTTGGGAAAATCTCTGAAAGCTGTAGTCGGAAAAAGAGAAGCAAATGTTGGGATAGCCATTCATGACATATAGTAAGATCTCGGATTCGGAATTGCTGTGCAAAAGTTGAGAGATGATACCAACATAACAATATGAGATGTCCTGTGCTTGAAGGTGATAAAGCCATAGAATGAGTGGATAATTGTGAATATAGCTGCCACCCTGTACCACCTCCAAATTAGTGTCTCAAAGAAAGGACTTCGGAGAAGGAAAGAAACAAAACAAACAAAAACAAAAACGTTAAAGCAAACGAATGAAGATAGCTACAAGAGAATCTCCAAGTCCTCCAAACTGATAATATCATGGTCTGGCAACCTCAAGCCAAAGTGACATGTTTGTTCATGCTGACCCTAGCCCTCCCATGAGATATGAAACGCTAACGCTCCCGCAAATACAACGCTCCCGCAGATTCTATGAATAGGGCTGATATTTGAGCCAAAGATGCGTGAAGGGGTCGTTCCAGAGCAAACCAAACGGACACCATCCGATTTGGGGAGTCATATCAACTACTCTAGGACACACTCTGCTCTCAAACCCTCCGGCTCCTTTTTTGGCCTCCCTAAACCGCTCCATATTTCAGAGAGACCATGGGTAGCTCTCCTTTACACCTCTCCTTGTTGAAAGACTTAAGCTGCAGGTCAGCAAGCTCCGTGTCCAGGTTCGTTGCACGGGCCAGCCTCGGTTCGGCAATCGGCTCGCGAGTGACGCGGCAGGGCCGTGAGCAGCATCTTGGTAGGGTCTTAGCTGACCAAACACGTTGGCTGAAAGTCATGGTTGGCTCCCCTTTCACAATTGGATTGAAACAAATTCCTAACATTGCAAAACCACACGGTCTGCACGGTGGAGCGCAGCTAGCTCTCAGTAGGGTTTTGGGGATGAAGCTAATCCCTGAAAGGGATAGTTTATAGAAGTCGTTTCCTTATTCCCTGCTGAGAATCAGCAAGAAACTCGGCAAAAAGCCTGAAGGGTACATCAGTCTAAGGTTGCCCTTCACCCTTTGAACCAAGGGAAACTGGTTCAAACAGCTTCAGAATAGAATCCGCAGAGCCATCTGTACTGGGACACCAAAGAAGGGAAACTACCATGTGGCGTGAGGAAGGAATGAGGTTGAGCAACTCAGACAATGATGACCTCTCTGTTGGGGTCCCGCCACGACACCCCAGGTCATCGAACTTGCTGCAGGGGTTCCGGCTGCCCGTGCATCTCCAGCATTTGGATCATCTTCTGGTACATGTCCGTCTCCTGGAACAAATCCACGTGGACATAGGGGGGAAACCTGAAACCAAGGGAAAGCTGTTTGGGGGTGACCGTAAATCTGCGGGAAGCCGGCAACCAAGGACCCTGAAATTATGCAGGATACGAACGGATGAAGCAATGTGCTACCAGTCCACAGGCAACTCAACTCAATCCCTCTGCCAACGTTTGAGCTCTTCGCAATTCTCATAACGAGTTTGTTTGAGTCCAAGTCGGCCCTGTGTGCTTCTTTGTGTACAAGAAGTGTGGTCCAAGACAAGTCTATTCCGTCTCTGTCAACACCACAGTGGCAGATTCTAGTGGCTCATGATAGGTGAATACCAATCCAGTGCGATTGCTTGACTCATGGTGTTTAGAAACAACATAAACATAGCTTTTAACAAGGTTCCAAACTGCCAACTGATACTAGGTCAATACCAATTGTTTTGTTTGATACCATGGGTACTGAGAGAACATGCCTGCTGGATTCACCAGGAACCATCACTACCAAGTGTTTTTGCAGCCTTTCTATTTCTATGGACTTCACATCCAGCTTGCAACCAGCACCCCAGTGATACAAGAAGAATGCGCAAACCAACCGGCGGCGGTCCACCGTGAGCTTGTTCGCTTTCATCTGCTGAAAGAGGTCGAAGGCCTGCCATGTGAATCTCAGCCTCAAGGGCTCGCGAAAGGCGTCGATTCAAACTAACTCCCTGAAGCCACAACTTCGAACTTTGTGTTTCCCGTCCTAAACCTTGAAATCCATGCCGTTTCAATGGTCTCAGTAGATGCACACCCTTCCATAAAGACCTCGTCGGGTTTTTTGCTTACTTTCCTAAAACTTGAAATCCATCCCCCCATGGTCGGGCTCCAAGTCAAAGGCGAAAACAGTTTGAAGACGATGACGACAATGACGACGGCCAGAGCAGCAGCAGCCCCGACAGCGGCAGAAGCAGCAACGACAGTAACAAAAGAAGCAGCAGTGGCAGCAGCATCGCAAACATCAACAGCAGCGGCAACACCAGCAAAGGAAGAACAGCAACAGGAGCAGCAGCAGCGGCGCACTGTAAAAAAGCGCTTTAACAGGCCCATACCCTCCCGCAGCAGTACAGGTGCCTTTTGGATTCGCCCCCGCCAAGAGGAAGGATTGGACTGCCAGATAGGCCCCATTAGATGCAGACCCTACCCTTCCCGACCACCTCGTCGGGGTTCTCGTCCTCCTGCGCCGCCATGATGCCATTCTGAAATGCCGAGCGAAACCTGGCATCTTGGTCAGCCCAAGCCGAGCTTTTCGTTTCCCCAGGATGCAAAGGCCCAAACGCGGCAAAAGCACCCCCCCCTTGTCCAAAATTGGGGACCCATTGAGAAGCCCGAAGGAAACCAAGGCATTTGTGGCCCACATCCTATTGGAGATGCCCAACATCAACCAGAAGGAAAGTCCAACTTGAAATGGTTGTCTTTACAAATACGTGCTTAAACCACCCGAGAACAGTGTTTTGTCTGCCACGTTTCGGTTCATTTCTGTGCTGCGCGGTCCACTCCTGGCGTGAACTCCTCTGGCTATACTCAAGTTCACTCAAGCAGTGGGCAAGGCGACAAGCTAGACTGCGAAGTCATTTGGCTGTGGCTCAAAACTAAACAGGAGGGGTTACGCGGGTTTTGGTCCATGTTTCCACTTGCCAAGGTTCCATTTCAGTACCGGTGTTTTGAGCCACAACCATTTGGGAGTTGGCACACGTCACACGAAAGGTGAGACAACCACTGCTGCACTTCGAAGGTTTTTATTCAAGCAAATGGGGCACTTGCGTGCTCGTCACAAAAAAGCGGCCTTTTGGGCTTTCCAAAATGCTGCATGCCTGGTTTGACCTGCAATTTGCAGGTGATTGCCTGGAGTGGCTTTTGTCAACACGTGACCTTGGGGTGTCGGGGGGTCCAGCAAACTTGATCTTTTTTTGGGAAAGGACTCTCAAGGCATAAGCCGCCCATTTTGGGGGGGGTGAGGCTCTCCTATTTTCAGACACCCTCACATGCGCTCCCTGGCCTCTCACCCTCCACCTTGATGCCCTTCTCCTTCATTTCCTTCAGCAAAGACACCACCTCGCGAGCTGCCGCTGTGGCTCAAAAACCGGTGGCTGTGGGTCAAGAATAGGTACCCCAAATGAAACCCTGGTAAGTGGAAACATGGACCAAAACCTGCGGTCCCCTGGTGGTTTAATTTTGACCCATACCTATGTACTAAAATGAGACCTTGGTGAAGTGGAACAAAAGACCAAAACCTGCGTATGATCCCTGGCTCGTTCATTTTGAGCCACGCCCATTTGACGCTGGCTTGGGAAATGCTGCATTCTCCTGGAGGAGTACTTGGGATCATTCAAGCTGGAATAGGCCCGTTGGGAGCCAGTCAAACGGGGGGGGGGTCCTAAAAGCAGACGTTCCCAAGTTTGTTTCGTGCCATTACCCGGCGCCGTTCACCAAGCTCCATCGCCACGCTCAGCCACATGCGCCCACGCGACCGGGACAGTCACCGGGCCGCTTAACCGGGGTTGCTCCTGAGATCGAAGGTTTAGGATGTCCAACAAGACTGTCACAATTGAAGATTGCTCCCAGCAAATTGATGGTTTGTGGAAAACTGATGATAGCTGTTTGAAGGCTTCGGCACAGAAACCGCAGAAGCCTTTGAGCGCGCTCTTCATCTTTTCCCATCATTCTAGCCCCCAATACAAGGAGTAGTGGTTTGGGGTTCATAAGCCAATGACTCAAACCTTCTGGCCACCCCGCAGCAGCTTCGCCAAACCAAAAGCACAGCCCAGCCAAAGGAGACAGGGGGCAAGGGGGACAGCGGCCAGCGGCCATCTGCGCCCGCCCAATGCCTTTGGAGACAAGAGACATGCCAATCATGCCGAAAACGCTGGCAGGCACGGACGGCCAAGAGGAGAGCGGCAAAAGAGGTTTCACCAACACAGCCTCTCGCAAGACACTGCCAGTGGCAGCTGAGACGATCCACAGGCAATCCCTGTTGGGTTGCGAGCGAAACATGGCCCACAATTGGACGGAATTGCCGCCGGAGGCGAGCTACTTGGGACAAAGAGCCACCTAAGCGCTAGACCGAGGCTTCGCAGCTGCAAGAGGCGCGGCGGAAAGAAGCCAAAGCCAAGGCTGTCATGGACACATGCCGAGACACATGGGCCAGCTACAATGCCCAGCTCAAACGGCGATGGGTCCAGGAGACAACTCATTGGCAGTCCCTGAGGCCCAGTTTACAGCCAAATGAAAGGTGTGGGTCGGGCTATGGCCCACGCTCTGAGCCAGCTCTTGTTGTACTCGCAGGCGGACACTGCCTGAAGTCGGGCCAAACCCAGAGAAGCTTTGGCTGGACATGAGCCAGCCCTCTCTTCAGCCCCCCCTGTTGACTCATTTCCACATGATCAGGCTTGATAACGGGATACATAGGAGGGGGGAGAGCGGGGCGGCGTAGTCCTAAAGAATCCTCGTTCCTTCCACAACACGCTCAGAAATCACCAGAAGCAAGACGTACAGGCTACCAAAACAAACATTACAGTTACTGCGAAACTTGTCAGTGGTTGCCCCGCGCATTGTTTAGCAAGGAAACGCCATACTGCCCTGGTTCTTGCTGATACTGCCCCTGTTTCTTGCTGATGCTGTTTGACGTGCATATTGTGACTAAGTTATTCGAAGTTGTTCGAAGGAAAAGTATTTAGAGTTTCGCCTTTATTGCCAATGCTTGTGTTGTAACGCAAGTTTCGTGGTAACCCCCTGTTCTCCAGAAAAATAGTTGGCCAAGTCCTCTCTTCCCCGTGAGCACATTTCAAGAGACTGGGTGATTGCGACGGCTCGGCGCCTTTTATCGGCCGATCTGTGGCTACGGCTCCAAGCCAACCCGTTCCCGCAAGCTGAGCAACGGGCGTGAAGGTACATAGTGCTGTCCTGAGTGGGCTCTACAAACCAAACAATTCACAAACCCCCCTCGTTCTACCCCCAAGACAATTGAAGAGTAGAAAAGTCCCAGCAACTCTCTGACGCGAATTCTGGATTGCGCTCAGGGCCGCATTGCCAGTCAACCAGTGCATTCCGGGAACCCATCGTGAAATTGGCAGTGACCTTTCTGAAATTTGAAGGCAACCTTTCTGTAAACTTGGGTCCTCTCTCCGATCCCACAACTCCCAAGGCCCCACCTTGGATCTAAACCGAACGGTGGCATCGGTTTCGGACCCGAAGACAGGTCCCGCACTAGCGGCAGCTTCGATTTCTGCCTCGGTGAGGCGGCGCCCAAAAAGGGCCCGACAAAATGTGGTGCCCGAAATGCCGCGAGTGTGTGTGTGTGTGTGTGTGTGTGTGTGGGCGCGTTTGTTTGTGGTGTGTGGTGTGTGGTGTGTGTTTTGGAAAGAAAATGAAGAAGCACACTTCCCCCCCCCTTGGTCGCGGCCAGGTGGTTCTCCGAGCAGCAAAAGCTGGTCGCGCGCACATTCGACACCCAACTGGGTTGGCCCAAAGTATGTCATTCACATGTGTTGTTTCCAAAAAAGCGCAGCGCAAGCCTGACCTTGGCATTTTTTAGGTTGGGCGCTTGAAATCGTTCACCTTGGGTCTCCTGACAGCTCCAGCAGCAGCTGCAGGGCGTAGTCCTGGCGCCAAACAAGCCACCGTGCTGCACGGGGCTGGTCAATCCTGATGATTGTCCTTTGCAATCAACAGGGCGAAACGGTACAAATGTCATAAGTGCATAATAAAAGGAAGTATCATGTTTGGTCAAATCTTCCAAATGAAAACATTGAAATCGCACCAGGCCAGCCTCGTAGGAGGGGATCCCGCCCGGCCGCAGGCCTGAGGCCCTCGGGCTTCAATGTCGGCTCAAAGATTGATGCATGACTGGCTGTCCTCCAGATTTGAGAGGTTGAAACAACGGTACCAACTAATTAAAGAACAAGGGTACCAACTTCTTTTTTCTGCAGTGGGTAAAAGGGCACTACTGGGAAGCCCAAATGATATACATGATACTGGGCTGTGCTCAAATCCCCCGCTAAAAGTTTAACTGTGGGTCAAATGGAAAACCCCACTAAACCCTAAAAACCTAAAAAGCTAAGAGGACAGCTGGGAGCCACTAAGGATATACTCAGCTTCCCTTTTGTTGCTTTGGAGCCGATTCGGTGGTTTGGTGGTTTTCGTAGGGGTGTCCTATTTGCTTCCCTCATTTGCTTCCCTCGAATTTCGTTGTTTTGGCTTGGATTGGTGGTTTGGTGGTACCTAATGTACGGGTGTCTCTTTTGTTGAGGCGCGGTAACCTTGCGGGGTTGGTTCAAAAAGAATCCGAGAGGAAGGGAGTGCCCTATGTTGAGATTGGCACATTACTGCAATACCCCTCATCCCATTTATATTCAACATATGTTTACAGCCCACAATCACGCACATTGAACAAACAAAGTTGCTGAATCCTTTCAATCAGTTTGTTTGCTTCACCTCGTTGCTTCTGCTGGCGGGCAACACAAAGGTGAGCAAAACCGGACCAGTAGGGAAACGACTACCACAAATATGTCTCTCCTCCCTTTCTCTTCAAAATACTTTTCTCTGAGCAGGGACCCCCCCCCAGTTCTTCGACTCTCTGGGGCCTTTGTTTCAAACAAGGCTTGAACAGCTTCTATTTTAACATCTCCCTGTAACCACCCCCCTCCCCCCCCCCGCAAAGCTTCGACTACCTCAGGCCTTGTCTGCAAAGGAGATCACAGCTTTGCCCAGGGCAAAGGCCTTCGGTGGCTTTTTTTTGGTCCCGGGCCGCCGCACGCGCCCATCTCGCAGGCGCGCAGCGCCTGCCGATAGATGCCCAGCTCCTCGGCCACCTGCGTCATCCAGGAAGGCTTTGTGGGGGGCTTAAGATGACATCATATGAGTCATGAACATGGAAGTACACGAGTCACTAGCCCGTTTGATTTTAAAGCATGCAAGGCATTGCTCTAAACTCAAGGGGCTAAATGACTCGTGTACTTCCATGACTCACGACTCACATTGGGCCCGAGCACTTGAACCGGAACCCAATGAGTTGGATCTACCCCTGACCCGAGGTCATAGTGCCCGTACCGATTGGCGGACATTTTGGAGCGCCAAAGGAAAATCAACAGGTGCAATTCTTGCTTGCCCTTTGGCTTCCCTTTGAGATCCAAGGGCAACGGCGCCAGCTGCCTTCGCCGCTTTTGCTTGGCCCCCGGCCGCGGTGCCCTCAACCCGGCCCCACTGCTGCCTGAACCGCAGAACCACAGAACCGCCAGAAATGAGGGCGGGTTTGGGCGATGGAGACAACCGAAGGAGTCCACCCCGAGCCAAAGCCGCGCTGAATTTCAGGGGACGAAAAGCTCAGCTTGCCCCCGAGCGCCGGCGAGGGAGCCAAACGCCTCCGCTGCATGGCGGCGTCGAAGAACTGCAAGGCCCGGTCCTGAGCCGGGCTCTCCGAAACCCGGAAAAGGGAAGCGCGGAGGGGACACAGCCGGCTTCGGTAAGGAGAGAGAGAGAGTCGTGTCTAATTCTTTTTGGGGAAAGCCCCTTTTGAGAGATGGAACCCCTCCATCTTGTGGGTTCTCTCATTTCCAGACACGCATGCATTGGGATCGTCCAACCCAGGGATTCGTTTCATGTGGCTGCATGTCTGCCTTCGCTCGCCAACTTCGCCGGGCTCCCCGGCCGGGTCGCCGGCCGTGATGGCAATGCTCATCAACACCTCCGGGTGTGGGGACAGAGGGCCGGTTGGCTCAAACCCCCCGAGTCTGTGGATACCCAAAAAAAGTCAGGAAAGTCAGGGATGGGAAAGGCAAAGGCGGAGCTGGGACATGCCGTTTCCCTTCCAAGGTGCGACTGTGATAGGTAAGAAAGCAATCTACTTCCAATTCGTGGTGCGTGCGATTTGCCTCTGCCATCCACTAAGTGGCTTTGCTTTACCAGCCAGTACAAACCGTGGAGCAAATAACCAGTTAAGCTAGTTGTAACTGGGCCAACCAGTCCATTGTGTTTGCCTATCTCAAACCAGCACACGTACAGGTGCCTCGTCCACCTTCTCGCTGGTCCTGGGGCTTCCAGAATGCAACCGGACAGGTTTCGGAGACCGGTCTCTCCGGGCCCAGGTATTGCAGATGACATCGGAACACCTACCTAAGAACTAAGAGCCAGGACTGTAGAAGCCTGCCCCGAAACACAAGCCGAACGAACAGCGTCAAGAATTGAATCGACTGAACTACCGTATCTAGCCTGACCAAAACCCTAAACCCCGGCATTTGCAGGTTGCGAATGCTTGGCAAAACAATCACCGACAAACAGGTTCCTTCAGCTGGATTCGTCGAAACCTAGAATGCTTCACTTGCCATGACTTGTTCAAAGCCCAGTTTTCGGGAGTCGCCGACATGTGCCCAAGGTCCAAAGGTCAGCGGTGGGCATTTCAGTTTGAGATGCCTAACCAAAAGGAGACCAAATTGGAATCTCAAGCCCTTTGTGTGGAGGGCCAGTCAGGAGAAGACTCACAGTATGCTTCGCAATCTAACTTATTTGGCCAAAATGCACTGCCACACATTCGGCCATTCGGCTGGGCAGGCCCGGCTTGATGCCAAGCGTGCGCATCTTCTGGAAGAGGAGCAGGCCCTGGTCGAGCTCCCCCGCGCCTCGTGAGAAAACCATTCGCACAACAGGTGGTGACCCCCTGGTGATGCATTGAATCCATTCAGGAGGATCCCAAATGTTCACGCCATGTTGTGTGATCTATAGGTTCCCTCTTGATTTCTACGCAAGGCTTGCTTTGGAACCTAACCCCGCGAGGGTTCGTCCGAAATCGAAGCAGTGAGCCACGCCCACGCAACTGCAGCGCCGTGCCCCCGGCGCTCAGCGGCCCTCATGCCGTAGAGGAAGGTGCCAAGGGAGAGCTCCAACTGGGCAAGGAACTCCCATCCATGGAACTGTTGGTTTCCGGTGGATTTCCAGGGGAAAAGGACACCCATTCATTTTGGCTTGTGGTGGATTTCAGAAGGGACACCCACCCAAAAGGAAAAAGGACACAGCTGTGAAGCCTAGTCAAATGAGATGAGGCCAATGTGTGGAGCAAAATCCACCCCTGCCGTTTTGAGGCAAACTCGAAATTGCACTGCTCATTGTGCGTCGCAAGCGCGCCTTCGTTGTCCGCATGTAGTCCTCGGTGCCGCGAAGGCTGGCTGTCGCTGCACAGAAATATTGGCGAACCATAAAGAGCTCATCTGAGATAGAACGAGCCAATCCACCACAAAGGGCGTTTACAAGGGCTTGCCTAATCATCTCGGCGGCATCTCTGGGGGCAGCGAATCAATGTCGGACCCCTTCGTATGGCTATGAGGGGATGCCAGGTTCAAAAGTGTCTGCACCCAGAGATACAAGTAGGAGAAGCGGACTTGCCTGGGCACTGGCCGTGTCGCCCCAGCCACCAGCACATACGCCGCCGCCCACACCCACCAAAAAAGGGATAAACGCGTGATCCATCCCCAAGGCAGGACTTGCACTTCACCAAAGCAGAAAACTGCGGATTGTTCGCTGAAAACTTGGCGGACAACCAGAATGGTCTAAGCTCCAATTCGGGCACATTTCGACACAGCAACTGCCAAGCCGCGATGGTTTGCACCACACCTTCAATCTCACCGGCGTTGCCTCGGCCGCTCAACTGCCTTGCCCCCTGAACAACTGGGGAGAAAGCAGTTTCATGAGCAAAGACAAGAGCCAGTCGAAGCTTTGTGGGCACCCTTCGAGGAGTAGGCATGGTTCGCCCAAAATGAGTGTATACAACCACAGAAACACATGTAGGCCATACAAAAAAGCAGCTCCATACTTGATGGCGCACGATGTCTCCATCAAGTTGCATCTTATTCCACGTGGTGTGCTCCACGTGAAGACTGAGCTGCGAGCCATAGGCCATCACCAGCAGATTGAAGGTCTGGCGCGCAGGGCTGAAGCTGGCGTGAGGCTTCTGAAGCTTCGGAACCCACGAGACATCCCAGCGCAGAAAAGCCTGAAAAAAGAAAAAGAAGGGCCGAAGAAGACGGTGTCGGTCGTGAAATGGCTGGTCGCTCGTCCGCCCTTGCCGAAAGGCCAATCCTGACCCCCCCCCCCGGCGTCGCCACTTCCGTGGGGCAAATGTTCCCACGGCCTGCGCCACTGGCATGACCCCCTGCTTCACCATGTCGTCCATGATCTCCAACCTCGCGCGAGCGGAATGTAGATGAAGGACGTCAAATCAAATCGCCGTCCTGTCTGCTTTCAAGGAACTGGGGGTTGGATCGATCCAAGCCAGCCCAGTAAACGGCGCTATCCAGCGAAGGAGCCAGCCCTCTCAGGCGCCCGGCGACTGCATCCAGGCGCCGATCTGGCTGTAAAGAGCTTGGCTGGCCATAGTTCTTCATTTGGGGGGTGCCTTGTTGTGTTTTTGAGGGTACGCAGGACTACCAAAAGACTTGGAGAGCTCCCGACCTGCCAAAACATGTGCTGCATGGTTCTGCCAGCAAGGTCTAGCCCTTTCATGTCTTCCCTTTTGCCCACTCCGGTTTTTTACCTCCAGTCCCCTGGTTTGGTGCCCAACCCGCTCTTCCCATAGAGCAACCTTCGGCCTTCAGCCTGCGACCCCCCGCCTGGCCCAGGGCGTAGAGGATCACGTGGTAGGCCCGACGCCTCAGAGCAGAGGCGCTTCAGGCCGCACCGCTGCTAAGAACCCAACAGTCACAAACCAGCAGCCCAGCAACACGACAGCAACACGACAACCCAACAGTCAAAAACCAGCCCAACAACCCAAGAACGCGACAACGACACAGTCGTGCTTGATCTTCGCATCGCGAGTCTTGGCCGCCCGGCTGGGGTCTCAGGCCGTCGGCCTTCATCGCCTCGGGAATCCATGCCAGGAAAATTGGATGCCCTGTGGGAGCCAGAAGGGGAACACCATTGGAAAGGCCCGTGCAAGGCTAGTTTGAGAAACACCCAAACATCATGTTGCGGCGCCCAATCCAAAGGTTCAGTGAAGGGCTCATGATGGGGCGCGATTGCTTTTCAGCTGGCTGCTGACACCATGCGATCAAGCACTCCGAACTCCCAAAGTAGTTGCAACGCTTGCACGTTCCCCTTACCCCTAAACCCCCAATCAGCCTACCGGCAAGAAACTGGCCTGCAGAAGCTGCAGGGACCCTTCGACCTCCCGCTTCCTGCCGTCGCAAGCGGCTTGGGAACCAGTTCAATGGTTTGAGATCCAAAACTCCCGTGTTGTGCAGAACCAGGAACCTGTATTTACACACTGGCTTTCCAGAAAGGGTGCCTGACATGTGCTTCATCTTGGTTTTGGCACGCACCCAAAGGTTGATGGCACCAAAGGCCGCTCCAGCACCATCCTGCGAACCTCGAATCATCAACCCCAGCTCTGCTGCTGCGACCGCTGCAGCGCGGCACAGCTTGGTTTAACCGGGGAACCCACAAAATGGGCGGTGTCCCTGGGTGTCCTTTGCTTACCCTTTTGGGGGAAGAGTTGTTTGATTCCCGTGCCTTTGTTTTTCTGGGGTTGCTGAATTTGGTGTTGTTCTTTCTTCGTGGGCTTGGCAGTGGGGGCGATGAGCGCGGAATCTGCGGGGGACTCCACATCGCCCGTTCGCATGTTTCCCATCAAAATGCGTGTTCTGTTGTTCGGCCTTGAGACCCCAAACCAAAAGCGTTGCTTGGTTGTGGAGCTTCATTCACCGTTTCCTTTTTTCTAGAAAAAAAAACGCATTCCTCTTCCCAGCACCCAACTAAAAAAATGCCATCTCTCTCTTCTCCCCGACCCCTCAATTAACAAAAGAGAAAGAGAAAGAGAAAGAGCCGCACAAACAAAAAAACGGGGGAAAAAAACGGGCACCACCTCCTCTTTTTCTTTAAAAAAAAAGAGCAAACACGTCTTAAATTAAAAAAAAAAACAGAAGCTCCCCCGTCTTTTTTGTTTTGTTCAGAAGACGCCGCCGCCGCCCCTCCCCCGTCTTCTCTCTCCCGTCTCCCGGGGCGGAAGCGGCCCGGCCCCTTCGGCTTCGGCCCGGGGCGCCGCAAAGGCCCGGAGGGCCCCGACTTCCGAAGCCGGGCGAGGCGCGCGCTGCGCGGGGGGAAAGCGGAAGCAGACGAGAGAAGAAGCAAACGAGACAAGCGGAAGCCGGGAATGTACAGACGGGCGCAGAAACAAAAGAAACCTAGAAAAAGAAGAGCGGAAAGAAAAGAGCCGGGAAGAGGGCTTTTTCCTTCGGGCGAAGAGAAGAAATGAAAGAAGAGCTCCCCCAAAACAAGAAGGAGGAATAAGGAAGCTGGAAAGGAAACAGCTCGGCTTTTTTCGAAAAGTTTGAAAGAAGAACGCCCAACTCCGAGGGCTTTTCAGTTGCGCGAATGTTCTCCCCGCCACTTGTTTCCTCTTTGTGTTGCATCTATCTATTCTCGATTTGTGTGAGAATGGACCTCCCACCGAAAAAGGAAGTCCCTGGTAGTTTAAGTCCTTAGTTTGGTAGTTTGGTGTTCTCCGGCTTCCCTGCTTTGTTGGACACCAGGTCTTGGAAAAGCAACAGCCATAAATGATTTGCTCCCTCAAAACAGGAATGCGTCCCCTCTGAAGCAGTCAGACCCTCCCTTATCAGTCTCTCAAAAGGTTCGCCCGGTCCTGCTGTACGCGTTGATGGCAAAGGTGTAACCTCGGCGTGGCAGAGTTTCAGGCGTGCACATCTCCACCGACCCCAACAAACCTCGACAAAAAGAGAAACTGTTTCCACGCCAGAGAAAGGTCACATTTTTTTGGCTGCCTTTGCCACGGCTCCAAATAATAGCGGATCGTTTTGTAAATGTCCATCAGAACACGTTGGCTTTGATGTAGGTGCTTCACTTGACGTTCAAATACCAGCATCCACGATTACAGGCACATCTGCATGGTTGAGATATTGCTGCGACAATCCAAATAGTGCGAACTCTAATCATCTAATTTTTCCAGTAGCATATGGCATCTCTCTCATCCCACAACTCGTGTTTAATTAGTGGTAGTGACGGTTTACACCATAGGTTGATGCCACATGATGCTAATCTGTAAGATCTATTGCCGGTGAATCAAAATGCCCAAGCATCTGTTCAATGAAGTAGAAGCATTCGTGGACAAATGGCACTATATTGAGACCAATTGGTGAAATTAGAAACAGCAGTCCAATAGAATGGTTACTAGTACTTAACTACTTGTCTACATGCTTGTCTATTCACTGTCATACTTCACAAGTAGCATTTCCTGGTGTCATTAATAACTACTATCTGTGAGTTGTTCCATGTTAAGGCGCGCCTAGGCACTCATGCGGGCGTGAACTTTGACAGGGACCCTTTGGTGGACATCCTCTAGGTGGAGATTCTTGTAGCAGTCTTACAACCGAGCAGGTCCCGTAGATTCCATTCGCCAAGGAGACCTGGCCAGAGACTCGGAGACGAGGCCCCGGGCAATACTCGTCCGGCGCGATGCCGTGCTCCACCATCTCCTCCAAAACTGTCAGCTCACCGGGCTCCCTCCGAGTGCAGTCAGCGCGTAGTAAAGGAAATTGTGTCTAACCATGGGGAACCCCCGTGAAAGGTTCACAGCGAAGAGTGACCGAGTCTGGGTTTCCGGCAAATCCGGGCCCGGGCATCTACATCCCAACCTAGTGTCTTAAGCAAAGGTCCACTAGGCTACCTTGAAAAAACACAGAACCAGGGAGCCCAAAATTTGCCCGGGCTCAGCAGGCCAAAGCAAATGGCTCTGGATAGCTCTCCCAGTCGGCGTCCCGGTGTGGAATGACCAGTAAGTTTTCGGGGCTTTCAGTGGACTGAACCGGCTCCGAAACCATTTGGTTGGAATGGATGGCGATGAGTTGCCTTTTCTGAGAACCAGATTGACCCCTTCCGGAGAAACGTTTAAGATGTGACCCGATCCAAGAGCAAAGCTTCTCAAACTCGGCTTGACCCCTTTAAGAAAAAGGGGCGGTGTCCTTTCTCCCCGACGAAGTGGGCGACGGTTGCGGCGCCGGGCGTCCTCGAATAGCTGGATCGTCTGGTTCCAGCGACTGGACCTGCAAAGTCGGTGCCGGGTGAGCACGAGGGTCTCCCGCCAAACGGAGGGTCCAAAACCCCCCCGCCTTTTTTCCTTTTGCCGGGGCTCTTAAAGTCAAAAAGTTTGCGGGTGTGTCTCAAAATACGGATTCGGGGTTGCCCCAATTTGGCTGGTCGGCGCTTCCTAGCTACCCTTCCAAATCGACCAAAGTGGGAAGATGCTCATTTACAGGATCTTTCGTATGTCCCCTTCAAGCATTACCCCCCCCAGGCTTGCAAACGCTATCAACGATCACATGACTTGGGTGGTGTAAGCCAAGTCTTTTGGGAGCCGAAATCGACTTTGCTCGTTTTCAGCCATCCCCGATGAGGTGCCCGTTTAGGTGCCCTTTTAGGGACCCGTCCCGAGCCCCAGGCTTGATCAAAGCTCGCATCACCTCGAAACCGCCAACCGCCAACCGACCGCCACAACCGCCGGGCTCAATCTCAACGATAGCCACCACCAAGCGGTTGACATGGTAAGCCAGAAAGGTGAACTATTGCGTGGAAAACTGGTGCCCCTCCACTCAAACCCCTGAGAAGTTGGGTTTACTTCATGGAGAATCTCCTATAACCCAACCTTGGATCCTCAGTCTGGGTTGCAGGTTGCTCGGTGCATCCCAAAAAACTTAGAGTGCAGGTTCACTCTGGCTATGAGCATGAGCAGCCCTCAGGCCGGCTGCGCCAAATGCACACCAAGTCACCCAAGCGTAGTGGCCTTACGCATCACCGAAGTGGGAGGAGTGATTGGTTGGTGCACAGTGGGTCCTTGTGTGGGGGATGGTCATGTTACCCGTACTCTTCACTATGCGATGTCAACTCGGGGTTTCTGGTCCCTCATTCAAACCTTAGTGAGCCGCAGGTGTTCTAACGCTACATATTATGATGTGGGCGCACCTTCCTTGAGGCCTTTTTTGAGGTTATTCAGGTGGGCATTCGGGGAAGCACGTTTGAGCCTCCCCAAACGACCAATTGCCAGTTGCATCTCACTGATTCTGCAGAGGTTACAATCATCCCGGAGCCTAAAATAAGAAAGTCCCAAGTAAAGAACCTGAAACAAAGAGTCACACCCCGCGTTTGCCTGCGTTTTCCTCAAGCGCGGCTCAGCGGCTGCCCTCCGGCTTGAAGCCGTTGAACCACATGCAGCTCAAAATCACCGTGGCCTCGGCCCAAACAAATCGACCAGTTCCTGAGCCTGCAAACTCAGGCCTCAAATACCGTTTTGTGGGTCTTTGCGCAAACCTTATTTACACCTCGGTGTCTGTTGCGAAAAGCAACCTCGTTAGGTCACGTTGGCAACTTCAGCAACTTCGAACCCTGACTGGTCTACACCGCAGCGCCTGGGACGAGTGAGAGTTGTCTGACTGAATTGGCGGCTTTGTTTGCCCTTTCTCTTGCAGCGCGTGGATTTCTGAGCTTGTTGCCTTTTGGGCTTGCGCTGCGATGTGACACATTCTCTTGAGTTGCGACATGCGTTGTATTCTTCACACGTGCTCAGCGCGCTCAAGTACTTCACGTGTTCACCTGTGGTTGCGACACTCAACCATGCCTGCCGTGACAGCCGGGGTCGTTCCCTCTCCATCGGCATTCGCGACGTGTTCTGCTGACCCTACTCCTCCCCCCTCTCGTCCCCTTGATTGCGGTTGCACGTCTTCCGTTCAGCCTTTTGCTCTTGGGTCAGTTCAGGAGAGGGGGCCAAAAGGGCTCAGGCGTCTTTGTTGGAGCGAGTCAAATTGGCATCAGGGTCGAATCTGTGCACACACGCACGCGCACACACACAGAAGGGGCAATGAGCATCGCTGTCCGGAAGACTAGGGAATGTTGGCCCCATATTAACCAACCCCCCTGTATTGATTGGGGGTGTCCCTGGGTTAAGTGGGGGATCACTTTTGGAGGAGAGCGCAAGTGATTGGGGCCAGGTTCGCATGTTACTTCTATCTCGTTTCTCCGCAAATCCTAGCTGAGAGCGCACTGCCCGCCCCCCGGCCAGCAGCTTCGGGCCCACGCGTCGCGCCAGCCCTGGTGCCTGGACGCGAGGATCTCTAGCCTCGGACACCGTGCCAGCTCGGAAAGGTGGGCGGAACCCTCCCTGGACGGCTTGCTTGCCGGTGGGCAAGGGAACCGACTAGGTACTAGGCTCATGTTCTCATGGCGAAAATGTGAAGCGGCTTCCCAGCAAGAAAGCGAAGGGCGGGAGCTCTCCGGAAAATCTAGACTCGTGGGACGCCACCGTCTGAAGCGCAGGGCCCCGGCGCTCTGGCGTACTCTTCCTTGGTGTCGAGGCAGTCCCCGCGCCTCTCGAAGTCGCGGCGCCAGGGTGTCATACGGAATACGGAGACACAACAAGCAGAAACGGGCGAACAACCCAAACTGATTGAATCACGTTCGTCTGAGTTTGTGCCAAAACAGGTGTTTCGCTCTCTTGCTATGTGGAGGGGCGTCACTGCACGAGGTGTTCTGGTTCCCGCCAGACAACAAAAACACAGAAAAGCCTAAAGCCCTTCCTGGCCTGAGCGAGAGGATCACCTTCTTCCAAGAATCCTGATCAGGTTTTCCGTCTTTGAGAACCTCGGCTCCGCATGGGTCAGACATCCTACAGAGCTAAGGCTCAACCTTCGCCTTTGATTGGGACCTTGCCCTCTTGCTAGACAACAGGCATCCCTGTTCTGAGAAGAAGCTGGCGCTTGGAAACCCCCTTCACCCTGTTGCTTGCTTCTCCAGACCCCCTAGGCGCGGGGCCTTCCACACCTTCCTTGGCAGAAGCAAAGTGCCCTGAAGGGTTGCTAAGGATTTGTTCCGAACGGGTGGGGGAGCAACCAGCCACTCTTCAGTTTCTAAACACATACAAAACCATAGGCGGCTACACCAACCAAGTGGATTGAAAAAATGGCATATGGCTTCCCCAATATTAATGAAAAACTGCAAGCATTTGACTTCGAACCACCCCCGCCTAAGACGCACCGCGCTTCCCGCGCTGGCGTGCTCAACATCCCTCCCTGTGGGCTCGGTGGCTGCCACTTGTGGCAGGGAAGCTCGCAGGCCTTCTTTGTCCCTGCCCGACGGCGTCAAAGCATCATCTGTAGCTGCCATGGCAACTCCAGCGCCAACTGCAAGCACTCGTCCCAAGCAGTGTTTGTTGGCGCTGCAAGCCCTCAGACGCACGCGCGGGCTGGCGTCCGCGGTTTTCCCCGGCGTCAAGCGCATCCGTGGGAAAGGACACTGGAGAAGGCAATGTAACCATTTCGCTCCCGCTCAATCAAAGTCCCTTCGCCACGCTTGCATTTTGGCCGTGTTGAGTTTCCCTGACGGGGCGCAACAAACTAGCAATCTGCGGGAGCGTACGCGACAGCAATGTCATGCTGTTTCGCATTGCCTTTTGCTGGCTGGAAAAAGGAAAAACTGGCTGGAAATCACTGGCTGGCCTTTTGCTGGCTGGACAATCATCACTGGCTGGAAAAGGGAAAAAATCCCCGCCAAAGCCAGGTCTCAGATTGTAACATCTCAGCCCCGCCGGCTCGAGAGACCAACAACCGTCTCTCTTGGTTTGCACGTCCCCTTTTCAATTTCCACATCCTCCGAGTTTATTTTATCCCGACCGATCAGGTCATCACAAACTCGCGCACCGCTCTGCGCCGCTGAGCGTGCACTGCAATGATGGGTGAATGATTCGCAAGCCATATGCGGTTTCTGCATCGGCTTCACCAAAGCCTGTCCATGTCATACCAAATGAAAATAACGCAAGTTGACAAGTTATAAGGAGGAAGTTGCAATGTTTCAGACAAAGGACGCAACTCGTAAATGGACAAATCCGAAAACAGAAAACACATCGAGAGCTAAACATGTCCAAACCGTCCTGGGGACAAGTACAATACATACATGAATGATCGTACGCCCTACCCTTCTATTCATGGGTGCGCTGCGGAGCGGCAGCCGGAGATCGGCCGAAGATTTCTCGCTAGGAAGTCCATGTTTTCAAGAACCAAATTATGAGATGAGAGTCTCATTATAAGTATGAGGTATTTCGCGAAGCGATAGAGTATTAGAAATGCATGATCAATGTCTGGCGTATTGTGAAGCAGAATGTCTCGTTTCTCATACTGTGTTCACTTATGCGTCATTCGAATGACATTTCCGAAAAAGATGTAAGCACCACCCCCCCCCTAAGAAGTTAGGAGTGGCTGGGGCTCGAGCTCCTTGTTCGGCGCTGTCACCCAGCGCTGCCAGTCCACATCCTGCCCACAGCGGTAGCACACTCCAGACACCAGAATTAAGGGCCCACCCAAAAGAATATTCCGTTCCTGAAAGCTGACTACTTTGGAATTCCATGTTTTATGTGAAGGGGGTACCCGGCAGACGAATCCGCTACGCTTTTCGAGGGGGCAGACTTGGACCCTGCTCAACAAGTTGCTTCTGCCACTGCCTGAAAGGGAAAATGCGGGACCACGGCATAAAAGGCGAGCATCTCTATGCTTTTGCGGATTCATCAAGCAAAAACCATTTGTTTGAGGGAAGTACCATACAGTCCTTTCAGCGCGCCCAAAGGCCGACCCACCAGGAAAGCCGTTGCTTTGTAAATTCAACCTTTGACTTTTCGCCCGAAGCCGTGTTTCTTACGGGGCCAGGCCCGGACCCCCGTGCCAGACCAACGGACATTGGATGAGATACCGGAAGGTCGTGGGCCTGCAGCCCCGCCGGCACCCCAGCAGAAAGACGCTTCTCGCCAAGGAGCACCTTCGAAAGAACATATTGGTCAAATCAAACCAAAAACCCAACCAAACCAAACCAAATCAAACCAAAACTCAACCAGCAATTGTTCAAATACCAGAGAGCCCACTCTGCCCCCACCAAGCCTCCAGGCTGGCATCCTCTGTCACTTTGCTTCGAGGACCTGTGGTGCAGTTGGGTCTTGGACTGGGGTGCTGGGAGGCTTAAAAGGGGGCCACAAGGAAACCTTCGCATTTGAGTCCTGTTGGATCAGGGACCCCCTTTTCTGGGGAAGGTTGAAGGGAAGCCGAAGGGAACCCTGGCTTGTTTCAACCAAAGTCATGTCGGAAAAAAAGTGCGGCTTCGCTTTCGGCTTACAGATTGAGTTGCCCTTTTCCTAAAGAGACGGGGCAATGTGCCAACACTAGCGGAAGCCGCGCGCTTCGCTTTGACAAAACATTTGCCGGGTGGCTGCGGCGCAGGGGCACATCTCATGGATTTACTCTGTCTTGCGGCACTACCCTCAAAATCGACCGTGCACTCTTTCGCGCTCCGGCCGGAAAAAAACAAACCTTTCAGCCGGCCTCGCTCCCCGCGACTCCGGCCCTTTCCACTGCGGGCCCACTTCGGGGCACCTGCAGTGGCGAAGGTGAGCCCCGGAAACCAAGGCGGCCCGCTGCTGTAAACTCAATGCAGCTCTTGGCACGGGCCTTCTTTTGACAGGGACACCCTCCTCCCCTCCTGTTTGGTTTTCGCATGCGACGCGAACCCCAAGCCATGTACCAATGGGCATTCCAGCATGTCCCTAAAAAGGCAAAGCCCTGAAAACAAGGTTGCCAGTTTTGGGGGTTCCTCAGGTCAAAATTGGCGGCCTCTCAATCAACACATGGCTAGGTTCTTCTATGTCAGTCCCTGCTTGGCGCCGTGCCAATCTCGGGCTCCTCGTCGTCGTCCCCTGGGCGTGTCACAACCGACACGTTCGAACGTGCCTCAACCGGCGCGGAATGATGGCGCGCCCCCAAATGGGTGGTCTTAAAGGAAAACCAATAGGAAACCCGCAATTTTGGGGGTCCGAAAAGAGACACACCCAAATGCAACCACAAAATGCCTCCAAGCACGTGGCACACGCTGCGGTCGCCAACTCAAAACGAGAACCACGCACTGATGCTGGGCCCACGGGCCCCACTCTGCCAACTCCTTCTGCAGAGCCTCCTATTCAGCCGAGTGGCGCAAAAACTGCGTTTGAAATCCCAACTCGCAGTCAATGTCTTTGGATGTTTTCTGCAAAACCAAGCGGAAAAAATACGATAAACCACCTAGGAAAGGTCAGTAAGCGCCCACTGAAGGTTGCTATAAGGCTTTCAGCCGCTGGCTCTGCTCCGCAGGATCGTTCCTTCTTAACTGTGTAACATAAACGCCTTTGAGGGGGAATTGCTTGATACGTCAAAATGGGGGGGATTTGTGCTTGTCTTTTTGGCTTCCTTTTTCCAAGGCGAGATGGCACCCTCAAAAAACGCACACCCACTTGAAGGCCCCGAGGGTGGTTCCAAGTTTGTCTGTCGGCTCCTGCGTGGGCACAACTGCCGACGCTGCCGCCCTGGGGAGACGGAAAGAGAAAGCAGGGCAGACAGGGCCAAAGAAACCCCAGGGTCCTTTTGCACAACTAGGCGGCTTCTGCTGGAAAACGAGTCTCGAACCGAAATGAAACCAGCGGAATCCATGGATCTTCAACACCAATTCCAAAAAACGCCTAGCTGACACGCTTGCCGAATGGACATACAGGCCGCGACCAGGCTCCATTCATTCGCGCAGATAGTTGCCATCCATAGTTGGCTTCATTTCGCTGCCAGGTTGCACTCTGCGAAACCAATCTGCAGAACCTCCTTCAGATGCAAGTTTGCTGGCGACTGTCTTTCTAGGGGGACACCCTAAAAAGAAACAATGGGTTTGCCCTTTAACGCACAAAAGCAACCCACACCCAAAAAATATTTGCCTGCCACTGGAGCTGCGCCGGCCTGGGAGTCGACGGGGCCGACGGGCAGCAACCCAACCAAATCGGGCGGCGAAAAATCCAGCCGCAACCGGATTCTTTGTAGTTATCTATATATATATATATATCTATATATATGGTAATCGTGGATCTACCTTCCTTCAGAACTTGGTACGCGCAGCGGCTTGTGCCATTTTTGGGGTGTTGGGATTGCAGCAAAACAAGGCGCATTTCAAAGACCTTTACCAGTCGGTTTGGGTCTACCTCTGTCCTATTCCTGAGGTTTTGTCAGAAGATGCAGAACAACGGTCATGTTGGAGCCGTTGGCCGAAAAGTAAAAAAACAAGTAAAAAGTAAAACTCTGGAGCCAATGGGCCAAAAAAACAAAAGTTGAAGAAGTTAAAAATGTCAGCCCGTGGTCAAAAGCATTTTGCTTCAGGACCATGGGCTGGTTTGTTTTACTTGTTTGACTTTGTTTGCCTGTTTACTTTCTTACTTTTCTTTGTTACGTTCTTACGTTTGTTACTTTTTACCTTTGTTTTACGTGTTCTTCTCTACTGTTTTACTTGTTTTACGCTTTTACTTTCTGTTTATTTACTTTTCCTTTTTCACCTTGTTTACTGCTGGGTCATTGGCTCCAAACATTTACATTGCCTCTTTACTCTTTTACTCTTGGGTCTCTCGCTCCAGAAAAGTACTTTTTTTGCTCTTAGGTCATTGGCTCCGCATTTTCTTTTTGCTTTTTCTACGTTTACTTCTGGGCCGTTCGCTCCAGAACTTTACGCTTATGTTTCTTTCTCCTCCCTCCTTCCCCGCGTGTCACTCAATCCCCGCACCTGCAGAGCTTTCGCTTTGAGTTTGCTCGCCTCCAGTCTGAGCTCCCAGGGAGCGGCAACTTCGACCGTCAGCAAGGAAACAGAGGCCGTCTCCTCCTCGCTCAGCTCACCGTCAGAGCTAGAGCTGGAACCGCCACAAAAGACCTGCAGCGCGCAAGAAGCGTGGCCTTCTACAGGGCCGTGCCTCGAAGCCACGTCGGCGAGCGCAGCGCGCCTGAGAGGCGCCTCCCTGTGCTTCGCCTCCCCACGTGGGGTCGACGCCCACGAGGACCCCGCGCCCGTCGTCGCAAGCCTGACAGCTTGGGTCAACGGACACGCCTCGGCGCGCTCCAAGACCCCGACCGAGCACGCCCACGCGTCGGCGAACAAATACACCATGAGAGGTATTGAACTTGCCTTCTTTGCAATTGCTCGAGCGCTCCGGGAAAGGGCTGCGGGCTCAAAGATGACAAGTGCAAAGCAACGGTTGACCAACGCCAAACCAAAAACCAAGCGTGACCACCGCGCCTTCGACGTTGGCCCTAACCATTGAAGGTTTTCGCGATCGCCGCTAAACGGCCCAGGGCTCCCCTCGCTTTCAAGTTTGGAAGGCAGCCAGACATCTTCGACCATCGCTACCAGGCCAGGAATCTGCATCGCGTTTCGCCCGCCTCTTGAAGAAGCACTCTTCGAAGAGCGGGGGGCGCGCGGACTCAGGCCGCTGAAGCCGAATGGGCGGAGGCGACTTTTGGGCTTTTGACTGCATAATTGTACTTATATGTTTTGGCCTTTCCAACATAGCTGCTGTGTTGCATCTTCTGACCAATGGACAGGTTTAGGGTGTAGGGTTTGGAGTTTACTGACTCATGTTTGTAGGAATCCGCAATGGTTTGCTCAATGAATTTCATTGGAAACATGCTGTTTTGTTCATTTGTGTTAGTGTTTTGTTGCTTGGAATTCAAAGTATTCGATAAGGATTAAGGATTAACAAAAAGAAGAAAAAAAAAAACAATTAGAATTATAGTCTCAAAATAGAATTGAAAGATGATTTTAAATGGAGATCTGTTTCTAGGATTGTGCCTGTTCAATTTTCTCATTGGATTGACATGGAATTTAATAAGGAACACAAACTAGTAGAGTGTCTAGTTTAAACAGAATTTAACTAGAGGTTCCTTGTCGAACTGGATGTGTAGTCAAAAGTCATATCTGAACCTAGATGTTCAAACGGGTTCATTTGTTGGCATAGGTTCAATAGAATTTAATAAGTACATAATTCTAATAGAATGTCCAGTGCTAAAGAGAATTTACATGGTGTGTGTGTGTGTGTGTTTGTTTTGTTTTGTTCAAGGTGTTTAACGATTAGAATTCTTGTTTCAAAATAGATGTTCAAAAGGATGTCGGTTTCCATGATGATTTGTTCACTTTTCTAATTAGACCCTAAACAGAAATTAAAAGTGAACAATACCTAATATCATGCGTAGATGTTTTGAATTGAAGAACATTGTTAAGTGGGATTCTTACTACAAAACATGTTTAAAAGAGAACGTCCTTTCCCGGGATATTGTTTCTCCACTTATCGTGGAACTTCTAAGTTTTAAAGATTCATTAAATAGGATGTTTTTGTTCAACGAAAAGCACATAATTGGAATTGCTATTCCAAATTAGAGTATGAAGAGGATTTCCTTGCTTAGGGTGAGCTGATGCTGGTCAAGTCGCATGAAACATTCCAAATTTCACCAACTGCATTTCATCTCCAAAATAGCCTTCAAACCGCAAAACGGTAGATCCATCAGGGGGTTGCATAAATATATATATATATATATACACACATTTCTGCGTGCATATGTATTCTTGGGTAGACTGATTGTGGCCAGGGCGACCTCTAGGAACGCCCACCTGCCTGCAAGGGCCACGCCGCCCGCCAGCACTGGGCACGCCAACCTCGCGATGACTCGCGTCTCACTCGTGTCCTTTCTTGCTGGTAGTACAGAGGTTGTGAGAATGCACCTTTTAGGCATCCCCTGTAGAGAGAAAACAAATGCCTGGTTACCATCTACAGAAACATCTGGAAGCACTGGGTCTGGCTTCAAATCACCAATTTGGAATGATGAATCCTAAATTAGTGATTGGGGAAGCATTTTGCGGCCAATTCCCCAAAAATCCAAATAACCCGTGCTGTCAAATCGCCGGGTTGTGTTTGGTTTCCTGAAAGATGAGAGCAACCATCGCACTCCTCAATTTTAGCACACCGTCAATGGCCCGCTCATTTGCAAGCAAGCAGGTCAAACGCTTGGTTTTCTCACCGACCCCTCAAACTTAAGGGAAACCCGTTTGGAACAAACCTAGACATAGGGAAACCTGCACGAAGGCAAACCACCTGTGGCTGTGAGAACCACCTTTTCCCACGCAGCCGCTTGACTACGGGGTGCTCCTCGAGAACCGGCGCTGGTCCGCGAAGATGGCGCGGCCAAGTCGTCGGCTGGGCACAGCACCTGAGGTCTCGTTTCGGTTGGATCTCTCCGAGCCCAAGACGGGCGCGTCTCGAAATGGGGAACCCAAACTTGGGACAATAGATCCAAAAAGGCTTCGGTGTTCCTGCTGGTTGTTTGTTAGAAGCCCAAAAAAGCGAGATCGGGGAAAACAACGCACGTGTCATCCGGGCAAAACAAATGGGATCAGTCCCATCAAAGAAGGCTCATCCGGGTCTAACCATCTCATCCATCAGCCTGAAGGGATCCCTCCAAACCTGACCTTCACGCGCGGACTCAGTTGGTCGCCCTCTCCCCATCCCAACTGCCCGCGGGACCTCCCCGCAGCGCAGGGCTGGGCGAGTTCGGCAGGCAGAGGTCCATCTGCAAAATGAAAGCGGCCACAGCCTTCCTTGAAAATCCATGGTTTTCGGGGGAGTCCCCTGTTCATCTGCAAGACGGCAAGCAAATGATTGGTTTATTCATGGGAAATTCAGTTCATGTAGGCCTTAAAACTATCTATCTATCATATCGCCATCAACCCGGCCGGCGTACGCACCTGCAGTCTACGGTTTCTGCATCCAGCCCTCCAACCCACAATCACTTGGTTGGAACCCAGGGCAGACGATTCCAACTTGGTTCCTTCTGGTCCCCCCCCCAAAAAAAAAAACGAAAGTACCCCAGCCATCCAAGGGGACACCATCCAAAGGAGATTGTCGGGGGTACCCAACCTTTGGGAAACTCATCGCCGGGGAACGAACGCAGTGTTCCAGGGAAAAACTACAAGGGGTGGACTGAAACAAACATAGTAGCCGTCCGACCTGTATTCGTCATCTGCTCCAACCAAAGGAAACCCTGGCAACTGTCCAAAAGGCGACAAAAGCTTATCACCGGAACGGCTTCCCCAGGTCTCACTCTGCGCTCTTTCCGACTGCTCAAAGGCTCTTGAAAAGGGAGCTCCAAGCCATTCAGATCCCGAAAGCCCAGCCCGACGCCGAGAGCTCGGCCAAACGCCACGTCCCGCGACGTCCGGAGCGGTTGCCCTCCCCACTTCACGTCTGAAGGACTTTGCCCACCCGAACGGGCTAACAATCGGTCGCCATCGGCCCAAAAACGCAAGGGCAGGGCCAACCCCTTCGCCGCCACCCAGGAGGGGAGCTGATCGCTTGCCTTCGGCAAGCGATCCGGGCTGGGGACACGAACTTCGCACCGAGCGAATCCACGCGCGCGCCTGAAAAGGTCCCATGCTGCGGTAGGAGCTTAGTTTACTTGTTTCGTCTAAGGACGAGCCGCCAATGGGGAACATGTGTTGATTTGATTGAGAAAGAAGACGCATGCCCTGCGCACGGAGAGACTGTCAGCATGTCGTTCGTTTAAGTCCAAACCATCCCAAAAGGTGGTTGCCCACAACGTTGACCCAGGATGACTTCATGATTGCTGGGCGGGTGCAACCCCACTTTTTAGAGGAAGCTTCACTTTTTTTTTGGGGGGGGGGATTCCACTATCCGGGATTGAAAAGAAGTTATGCTCGCTGTTGAAAGAACCCCCATCTCCTCCTCGTTGCCAGACGTCAAATGGATTTGCCCGGAAACGCTGATCCCAGCGTGCCATGGCGGTTTGTACGCGTTGGCCGCCGGCTCGAGGCGAGGAATTGGGCTTGTAGCGGAACAGAAATCAACCCCTCCCGGGGCTTTGACCAAAGTGTTGACACTTGGCCCCTGCCGGGTCCGGAGCGAAAGTGGCACTTCCTTGCCTCGGATGAGACAGGCTGCCTCACCTGTGGAAGCACCCTATTGACAGTTGGCACCCCGTGCTCTTCGAGACCTGAGGCCCGACACTCGCAGGGCGTCAAGAACCTGGCTCTAAAGCTGTCCTGAAACTGGGCAACAGCGCGAGTCCCAAGAGCAACAGGCAAAAGCCATGTGTGCGGCGCCAACTCAGCGCTTCGTCGCCAGCTTTTGCGGACTTCGTGGAGCACTGTGGCTCACCTGGACAGGTATCAAAGTGAGATTCCCGTCCCACCACTACCTCTTCACTTTATAGGGCATTGTCCACTTCCGAGAGCAACATGATCTACCAAGCATCCACACCCGGAAAGGCAGGAGTGTCTTGCTGGCTGCTATCAAGGCTGATGTTGATGGGCATCCTTGTAAGGACTAGTCGGTCATTTTCAAGGGCAGCATGTACAAAAGCTGTCAGCGATTGCGCGGCATGCCACTGGGAATTTCCCATGTCACGCCCTTCGCTTGACTCGCAACATCCTGAAGCCCTGGTGCTTGCGAGCTTTGCTCAACCAACTACTCAATATGCATGCAAGCCCTGGTTGACCATCAAAACTGGCAAGAAGTGAAGGGATGAGCTGCTTCCCGAAAGACGAAGCATGTAACTCTTTTGCGTTCGCAGCGAGAAACTGGTTGGAACCTGCATGATTCATCACGGTCGATCGTTAATTTAAGCAATGTATCTTTGGCGGACATGTTTACTCATTTACATGGGGATGCATCAAACCACGAATCTTGTGCCACTGCTCCCATCAAGTAGCTGTAGCTTGATATTCTTCCAAAGACCGTCACTGCTCGCTCAGTGGTTGCTTTCTGGTTTATCGGTGTCTAATCTTGCTTGTTTTTGTTCTTCTTTTGGGGGGAGGTACCCTTCGTTGTTGCTTGAAAAGTAAACCAAAAGGAAACGACCATGTTTTGGGGGGGCCTGAGACGAATCCAAGGCTTGCCGTGCCTGATCATCGTGGGCGCCAAAGGCTCCGCCTTGCGAGTCAGAGTTCCTGGTGACTCCGTTCCGAGTTCACCCCCCAAAATCCCTCCCTGACGCAAAAACTGGCATCATCCTGATTAAAGCTTGTTGTTACCTTGTGACCAAGGCTCATGGAATTCATGGCTACAAGGAACTTGTGGAATTCAAGGAGCTTGGTCTAACTGACGGCCTAAACAAAAATCCGCCCATGTCCTTGCTAGGCAGTTGGAGGGGGAACTTTTGACGGTTTACCAAAACGTTCAAAGTCTCAATCGGTCAAACCCAGAGCAACTAGAGGGGTTTGGTGAGCGCTCTTGTGAAGAGCAAGGCTCTTTATATGTCCATTTTTCTTTATATGTCCGCTTGAACAGCACCCCAATGTTCAACTAGCCCAAAGAGGATGCTAAAGCCAACAACAAAAAATAACAAGGCTCAACAGTCACAAACACGCGTCTCCAATCATGAGATAATGTAAAGTGGTACCCTGGTACCCCGCAAACCCTATAATGATTGAGGTTGCATGAAGACCCCATGGCTCCTTCGCCCCCTGGCGACATCTCCCAAGCTCCGGACCACGGGCTTGCGCATGGACGGGGGGATGGCAACGGGCTCCGCCTCAATCGCCCGTCCGGCGCGGGCCGCGCCCCCTGGATTTGGCCCCCGGCTTCCCTGAAAGAAGCAACTCAGCTCCAACGGCCCCAGCTCGCATCCTCCGGGTGTCCCTGCCATGGGCATCCTGTTGGGACCCATCATGCCCATGCGCTGCAAAGGCACCGCACTGGCCGAGCCCTGGGCACGCTTGGCTGTGGGGCTTAGGAAGGTCACAGTTTCTTCTGCCCCATTGGGTTCGGAAGGGTTTGGGGCGGGCAGAAGGTGGTTTAGGGTGGGGTTCCAACAGATTTGGAGTAAAGGCCACTTTTTGAAACTGAGGGCGAGAGGGAGCCCTGTCCATGAAAAACTCTGGAACTGCTGCACTGGCTTGGACACACAGCAACGTGAAACAAGGCAAGCCAAGTGCCATTCCGACTGGCATGCAACCACATCGCACCACTTGGAGCCGTGAAGAACACAATCCCCTTGCTTGCGGGCACCAAATCCGCAAAGTATCGGTCTTATTCCTGGGGTCGTTCCCTGGCGAAACACTGCGTCCCTGGCCAAGAGCGACTGGCCCATGGGCTTCATGGCGTCCTTGCTGGGAGTCGGGGCGCGACTCGTTCCCTTTTCTTTGGAAATCAAAAACCTGGAGCCCCGCCAAAGAGGAAACTTGGAAAAAAATATGGAAGACCGAAAGTTCTAGTTCACAACGACAGAGACGGTGTTTCTCGCAACATATGGCCTTTCGCTCTGTCGCATGGCTTTTCAAGGCAAAGGAAACCGCCCAATGTGGGTGTTTTCTTCGAGAAACCTGTTCAGTCTTCATCTGAAGGAGCTACATCACCCGCAAGTGGCTTCCTGCCTCTTCTCCCGCCAAAGAAAGGAAACGGACGTACAAGAGGTCATGATTTGTAACATCGTTCAGCCTTCCAACAAACCATTCAGGCCAAACAAACCGAATACCAAAAAAGAACAAAGCACTGGAACACACGACACCGCAACCCCACCCGGTCCGGGAAGGGCGTGGGCCGGTACCCAAAAGGCCGCGGCATGCCTGGCATTGCGCCCGGCATGGCGCCCAGCATGGCGCCCGGCATGGCGCCCGGCATGGCGCCCGGCATGGCGCACGGCATGGCGCCTGGCATGCTCACCTCGGGACTCGTTCGGTCAACCGGCAACTGGTTTTGGCGCCTGGGCCCCTTTCTCAGCCCCTGTTTCTTAAAAAAAAAAAAAACGTTTGCTTTTCTTTACCTCGGTGTAAAGCGGGACGCGGCCGAGCGCGCGCGCGAACGCAAGTGTGGCTGTGCAAGAGCGCGGTCACACGGGCAGTTCAGACACACATGTCCAGTTAACACACACACATATACATTCACCTGCGGCACACGCATAAATGTGTTGAGCTGGAAAACAAAGGTGTACGCACACATGTGTACACGTGGAACACGCATGTGTGCACACGTGAGCAAACACAAATGCTCACCTAAAGCGCACACACGTTTGCGCACCTCGAAAACAATCATGCCGCCGGATGTTCACTTAGAACATACTAATGCGTTCACGTGTCCAATTGCAATTGGAACACACATGTGCGTACACGTGGAACACACATGTGTGTACACGTGAACACACACACGTGAACACACACATTTATGTGCACCCGGAACACACACACACACGAGTGTTCATCTGAAAAAAACATGTGTTAATTGGAAAAGAAACAGGTGTTCAATTGGAACAAACATGCACACGTGGAACACACACATGTGTGCTGCACGCGTGAACACACACATGTATGCGCACAAGGGAAACACAGACACACACGAGTGTTAATCTGATAACAAACACGTGTTCTCCTGGAACACAAACACGTGTCTAATTGGAACAGAAGTGCACGTGAACACACATATATGTGTGCACCCGGAACACACACATGCGTTCATGTGAAAACAAACATGTATCCACCTGAAACACGAACACGTGTCCAATTGGAACACACATGTGTGCGCACGTGAACAAACAAATGTGTACACGTGGGTGAACACACATACATGCGCACGCGGGGCAGACACACACGCACACACACGTGTTCATCTAATAACAAGCATGTGTTCTCCTGGAACACAAACATGTGCTCTTCTAGAACACAAACACGTGTCCAATTGGAGCGCACGTGTGCGCGTGACCACACAAATGTGTACATGTGGAACACACATATGATGCGCGCGCGGAGCAGACACACACACACACGTGTTCATCTGATAACAAACATGTGTTCTCCTGGCACACATACACGTGGCTGATAAGAACACACATGTGTGTACACGTGAACACACAAATGTGTACACGTGGAACACACATACCTGTACAAATGAACGCACATACATGCGCGCGCAGAGCAGGCACACACACACACACGTGTTCGTCCGAGAACCAGCATGTGTTCTCCTGAAACCCAAACATGTGCTCTTCTGGAACACAAACACGTGTCCAATTAAAGCGCACGTGTGTGCGTGAACACACACATGTGTACACGTGGAACGCAGACACACACACACGTGTTCATCTGATAACAAACATGTGTTCTCCTGGAGCACATACACGTGGCTGATAAGAACACACATGTGTGTACACGTGGACACACATATGTGTACACGTGCAACACGCATGTGCGTACACGTGCACACACAAATGTGTACACGTGGAACACACAGATGTGTACACGCGAACACACACACACACACATATGCGCGCCCAGACACCACACACATGCGTGCTCAGCTGATGACAAACATGTGTTCCTGGAACACATGCACATGCGTACACCTGGAACACATATGAGAGTGCATTTCTGCTCACCTGCAACACACATTCGGAACCCATACACGTGCTCAGGCATTTGTGTTCACGCGCAACACTGGCGCAGACCTGGATCACACAAACATGTTGAACAAGAACCATGTTCTGTGTTGACTTGCAACACACATATGATCACATGGAACACACGTATGTGCACATGTGGAGAAACATGCGCAACACAGATGTGCAACACACCTGCGGTCACCTGGGCAACAAAAATGCGTTCACATGGAGTTTACATTTTCTGCACGCCTGGGCGACACCATAACCAAGTTCCCGAAGCCAGCTGTGAGGCGCTATTCCATGGCTAGCGCGCGAGCCTGCTGTTGCTGCATCTGCTACTACTGCTAGTACTATCAGTATCGGATGCGTCTCCAGCATTTACAGGCTTCAGCTTAGCAAAAGCTCTCCGGCGCACTTCGCTTCTTTCTCGCGCAGCTGCGCAGTGTCTTTCGTATCGAGCAATCTGTTGATCGATGGAACGCTCTAAAGTGCCTCTATCATACTGCGGCAACTCTTCGTATCGATTCAGAAAAGCATTTGGTTTTGCAGGGAAATGCGCAACCCAATTCTTCCGTACGCTCGGTACAAGGCATCCCTGCCCTCTTGCCTCAACCGTTTTTTTCTCCCTTTGTCCAGCAAATCACATTCCATGGCACATCCTCGGGCGATGGATGAGGCTTGCAGAGGGGTCGTGAACCAGTCCATCACTACATTTTCCACCAGATAAGCTGGCTTCCTGATCAGCAGCGGTTTCAGCTTTTCAAGAAACTGTGCGAATTTGACAAACAACTGCGCTGCCGGCTCTGCAGCTGCGCGCCCCGTCACGCAGCTGAAGTCAGGGCACGGTGGACCAGCAGTGATCAAGAGTTGGCAAGACCCTTGCTGCAAGATGGCACTAGCAGCCAGTTGTTCGGGTTGCTCCGCGGTCAAGCCCCCACGCTGGAACACATTGTTGCGCGCCACTTGCTCAGCAACTGCAACTGCGCATGGGTTGATTTCCCACGAAAAGGTGGCCCTAACTTTGACGTTCAAGGATTGAAGCACCAAAGAGGCAGAGCCCACACCGCAATGTGAGCTAGCCTGGCACTTGCTGGAGGCACACTGCCTAGGAACCCCATCGTCTGGGTCTGTCCCTTGTACTGATTTGCTGATGAGGGCTGTGGAAGGTCGGGTCCCCCGTGATGGGGCCCTATTCGTCAATCGGTTTCCCGGCAAGGTTGGTCCGGGTTTCCCAAGCGGTCATCTGCGCGGCGCCACTTGTTGCCTCCACCCCGCCATCCTTGCTGGTGCATCCTTGCTGGTGCCATCCTTGCTGGAGACGCTACTGTCGCTGGAGCTGGAAGACGATGGGATCGCCGAAGTCTCATCGGGGAAGCACCTGAGGCAGAATTTGAGGCAGGCAGCCTTCTGGCTGACGCGGGAAAAGGAAGACCCATATTGCCACCCGCATCTGGCTTTCCAGCGGATCGGTGGCAGCATGCGCTCATCCGTAGCTGCTAGGTGCATGCGCTTGTTTCTGGGCTGCACAACATGTGCGGGGAAGGCTTCCTGCACGGCCTTGCCAAGAGCTTCGACCCTCGCACGGATCACGCCCAGATCAGGCTCTGCTGCGCTGGACCCGCTGCCAGCCACCACGGCAGCTGCCAAAGGCTGGGCGCTGCACACGCCTCTGCCGCTTGCACTCTCGGGCCTGCTGATCAAGATCAGGCAGGTGAGGATCGCCCACAGGATCCCAATGGCTGCCAAGCGCCCCGGGCGCAACACTCAAAGCTCTCCCCACCCCTGCGCGCGTTGGGGCAACATCCCGCACTGCTCCAAGCGCACGCGGCCTCAGCCCCGGGGAGGACTTGCACGCGTGTTTGGACGACATTTACGTTACTTGTCAGCCCAAACGTGCGCCTGCTGCAAATATCTCTCTATGGCTGCAGAAGACCACCTGCCCTGCAATTGGATCATACGGCGGGGTAATCCCAGATTACTGAGATGGGCGCCAGCAATGCGACAACAATGTCCGCCAAACCGATGGACTTCTCTGCCCTGACAAGACATTGCGGAAGGACGCGATGACCTGCGCCATCGACGCAACTGCTCCTTCAGAGTTGGGGAGAAGAGGCCTGGTCTCAAAACCCTCACCTTGCAGCATTTCTAGTCGCCGAAGGTGCCGCTCTGCTGCGCAAAACGGGCACAATTCTTGCTGTCTGCACTGGGCGTCAGTCTTGAAGATGGGCAGGAGAAACGAAACTTCACGGCTTGAGTGATGTAGTTGCAAGCGCCCTGCCACTGCGGCCGCTATCTCTGCCTCTCGCAGCATGCGCCAGCAACACGCCACAATGAAGTCCCCAATTGCATGGACGTCCCTGAGGTCAAACGGACGGCACTCCTGATCTTCACCGGTCACCCTGCGCAGCAGCCAAACGTTGAAGCTGTCCTTGAGATGGCCTGGGCCCAAGCCACGAACCACTGCGCGAGTTATATCCTTGATTCCTTGCGCGAGTTCGGGGGGAAATCTGCACCCCAGTTGATTGCAACTGATGCGAAACGATGGCTGCAAAATATTGCTTGGCAGTCTTGTACCTGCCGGCGCGCAAGCTCGCGCCAAAAGCCCGGAGGTTCTTCATATAGTGGCCAAGCAGGCAGCTCCCACGCGTAAGCCACCCTTTCATAGAACCGGACCCAAGAGTATCGCTGCTTCAAGAGCATCCAAGGATTGCTGCCTGTGTTCGGCGCGGCGGCCAATATTGCTGCGGCAGCGTCAGCCGTCGACTGCCCGCGGGACGCCTGCAAATCCCTTCTAGCTGCTAGCGGCTCCACCGCCGCAGCTAGAGTCTCCTGGCAAGCCATTCATCAATGACTCAAGGGCCCATGCTGGGAGACCGGCCTGTAGTAAATCTCGCTGCCCCAACAATCCAAAAGATGTGACCCGAGCAACCACAAAGCATTCGGCAAACTCAGTGAGGCCATTTCTACGGAGAGCGCCCCAAAGGCCACAAGCATTCATGTCACTGAGCCACAATTACTACACACAGGGTGCTGCAACCGATGAGGCCCAGCCCAAGTGACTTCTGTATCAACTGCTTTTTTGGAAGTCCTGTCCTAATCACCATCCTTGTCATCATCAATGGCGTTTTCCAACTCGTGAAGGGCCAAAGGCAGACTCGATCCGCCCTCTTCCATGGCGCTCAAAAGAAAATGGAACTCTTGGACCAGCGACTGCGGTGTCACGCAGTTCTTGCTGGACATGTCCATGCACACAACAAGTTGTGTTTCACTGCATATCAGTGCGTGCATATGAGCTTGTTTTTCAATGGATGCGCCCCAGAACGTTCTTCGCCCTTCTCCAAGAAATGATACCATGAACAACGAGCCACACGACCCACACCCACTAACACTGTTCTTTGCACCCAAGAGGACCTGGAAAGATTGAGTTGTTACCCTGATGTTTGGTTGATATTTTGGCTGCCCAAAGGTGACGAATATCCCTGCCAACCTCCAGCGAAGGTGTTTTCTTCCGCCAAGGCGCCATGCGGCTCGGCGGCATGCCCGCATACATCACGGGCTTCTCCATTGGTTTCTGGCCTGCCCACCACCAGTCCCTCCCATATAGGCATTGGTTTTATTGAGCGGTGGGCACCTAGGTCTATTTTGCAGCCTGCTTCTAGGTGTCGGGTGTAGGGTTTGGGCTTGCTACATCATCTATCAGTGTCCATGGCACCTCCTCCCCGGAGCAAGTCGGAACTGAGCTTCTAGCGCAGAAAGGGCGCGATTTCCTTGATTATAGAAAGTGATTTAACGATTCGGAATCAGAGCAAAAGTTTTGGCGGCGTGTTCTGTTTCTCACCACGCGGTTCCCCCTGGTTATGGTTGTGTCAGAAAGAGTTGAAACATGTGTATATATATATATATGCTTACATAAATACATTGTATATACATAGAAAGATAGATAGATGGATAGATAGATAGATAGATATGGCCCGCGAAAGTCTGCAGCTTGGGTGGCGCTTAACGGCTTTGGACACTTAGGGCCACTCTTATCTTTTAACAAATAGGCCCTCCGCCCGGAAGGGAAGTGGTTCAGGGTGGTTTGAGGTTAACTTAGGGCTGGTTTAGGGTTGGTTTAGGAGGGTTGGTTAGGGTGGTTTAGGGCTGGTTTAGGACGTTTATGGTTGACTTCAGGCTGATTTCAGGTTGGCTCAGCGTGTTTAGGGTTGGTTTAAGGCTGGTTTAGGGCTGGTTTAGGGTTGGTTTAGGCTGGTTTGGGTCCAGGTTTAGGACTTGCTTAGGGTTGATTTAGGGTTGGTTTTGGGTTGGTTTGGGGTTGGTTTTGGGTTGGTGTAGGGTTGGTTTGGGGTTGGTTTTGGGTTGGTGTAGGGTTGGTTTATGGTTGGGTTTAAGGTTGGCGTAGGGTGGTTTGGGGTTGGTTTGGGTTGGTTTAGGTCATGTTTAGGGTTAGGGTTGGTGTAGGGGTGGTTTAGGGTCAGTTTGGGGTTGGTTTAGGGCTGGTTTTGGGCTGGTTTTGGCTTAGGGTTGGTCAAGGGTGGTTTATGGTTGGCTTTGGGCTGGTTTACGGCTGGTTTATGGTTGACTTCGTTAGGGTGGTTTAGGGTTGGTTTAAGGTTGGTTTAGGGTTGGTTTAGGGCTGGTTAAAGGTTGATTTAGGTTGGTTTAGGGTTGGTTTACGGTTGGTTTACGGTTGGTTTAGGGTTGGTTTAGGATTGGTTCAGGATTGGTGTAGGGTTGGTTTAGGGTGTAGATCTGGTTGGTTTACGTTGGTTTCGGGGTTGGTTAAGGGTGGTTTAGGGTTGGCTTTGGGCTGGTTTAGCGACCGACCGACCAACCGACCAATTCACCGACCAATCCACCGACCGACCGACCGACCAACCGACTGACCGGGGCGACCGAGACCGACCCACCGACCAACCGGGGCAACCGACCGACCGACCGGGGCGACCGACTGACTGCAAGACAGACCGGCCGAGCCAAAACACCAGCACCACGCAGCAAAACGGCCGCACCAAACCTAGGAAAAAAACCGGGGCCCCTTTGGGATAGCTTCAACACAAAAACAAGCTTGAAACCACATTTTGGGGGAGCCAGCCTCATTCTGAGATACAGCTGAGCTGTGCCCAAAGCCTTTTGACTTTTGTGTACCTACGTGATGATCAAGGAAAACATAGCGTAGCCATACCAAAACCGCCAGGGAATGGAAGCCGAAGCGCCCACAGCCCACCTGCCAGCAGGGAAGGGAACTGCACGGTACTGGCTGGGGACTGTGCCGTGAGCGCCGGCTGCGTGAAGCGCCGGAGGTTCCTGAGGGAGCTGAACCACTTGTCCCCGTTTGACACATACCCATTTTGACACATACCCATTTGCAAGGGCCACGTCCCCCAAGTAACTCGCAAGGTCGTGGCCAAACATTGCGAGCTTCCATTTTTGGAACCCGATTTATCGTTTTTTTGGGAGGGTACACCTTTTGTTGCGTGCGTTAAAGGGATGCCAAAAAGGAGAACCCGCCCATGTATTTCTTGCCAACATGTTGTTGACTTTCCCATGAAGCTGTCAAGCTTCGGGGACTGCGCTGGGCTCTCGCGACTGCTGTGCATCGTAGAGACCGTGTCCATGGTGGCGTCCAAGGGCTGGTCCTCCCCAAAGAAACGAAGCGTTGGCATGGAGCCCGAGTCAAGAGCACGATATAGAGAGATATGAAAGGAAAGAAGGAAAGAAAGAAAGAAAGAAAGAAAGAAAGAAAGAAAGAAAGAAGGAAGGAAAGAAGGAAAGAAAAGAATCCACCACCTGCCTTCGCCTGCCAACTGGCCGAAATTGGGTTGCGGGCGGAGCAAGCCCCAAGTCGGTCCAGGTTCTCCTTGCCCAGGAAGGACTTCTCCAAGCTCCCCTCATGGTTGGCGGGGCGGTGCTCCAAAACCTCCTGCGCCTGAGCCGGAATCGACGTGCCGCGTTTTCAAGGTTCCATGTAGACGTAAACGTCACTTCGGTTGCTGGATCAATAATCCTAGAACAACCGGGCGCCTTGAAAGGCCGATTTGTCAGGAACCTCTGGAGGGCCGACTACAGGAAGCCATTGGATCGGGCGCAACACAACCATGCGGTTCAGCTCCCAAGTACGCCTCTTGCTGGCAAACATCCATTGGAGGAAGAAGCGTCCTTGGTCTTCCGCCAGTTTTCCCATGGCAAGGCCACCCGGCGCCCGCGCCGCCCGGACGCCTGCTGCAGCAACTGCACCGCGCTGATGCAGCGCTGGTCCGAGTCTGCTAGGTGCTCCCGAAGCTGGCGGTTCTCCTCGCCGGAAGCCCAGCGGTGGTGGAGCCAAGAAACATAGGTCGCGATATACAGTGGAAGCAAAATGTCGAAGTCGAACTGATGCGAGCATAACGCTGACAAAAACAATTGGTGCGGGTTTGTCTTGATTGGTTCTTCGCCTTGAATGGTTAAGAGTTTGTAAGCAACCATACGTTGCTTGGTTGGACTTGTAAACTTCAACAACCGCGCCTCTCACATTCAGAACGGTTTTTGTCGTGTTCCCCTATTGAATCATCTAACTCCCCTTCATTTGGCTGCAATTTCTTCAGCCTGCGGTTCTCAACTCTTTTTCTTCCGCCTTTGCCTCTCTCTCTCTCGCTCTCGCAGAGGTAAGCTCCTCGCAGCACCTTAGCAAATCAACAGTTGAATTCAGGCCGCAAAACGGCGCGGACGTGCGAGCCCCGCCGAGGAAGTGAGTGTTGCGTAATTCTGAGAAGCAAAGGGTTGATGGCTTGCTTTCTGATCCGTTCCCAACAAAAGCCCCAGCCAGCCCTTTCGCAAAAGAGGTGGGTTCTGGCTACTGTTACCAGATGCGCGCGCACCATGCGCAGGTTCCCGCAAAACAAGGCACGCATCACAGAACATGTCCTGAATCACATGCAGCATCCTGAGCGCAAGCAGCCCAGTGGGGTTGACAGCTGCGCCACTTCTCAACCAAGCGCAGCGTGACTTCTGGCAGCTGCTGAAGCAAATGGACAACGTCCAAATTCCAAAATGAGACTTCATCTGCATCAGAAGGCACTCTCGGATGTTCAGGCAACATGAAACCACCAGACCTGGTCAAGGCCGCCCCCTGGTCAAGGCAGCAAACGTCCACAAGGTGCAAGCAAGCGGCTTCCCATGGCAAGTTGACCTAGCGCCTGGTGACTCAAGCGAAACAACTTCAAGATCGAAACCCTCGTGCTCTGCGCCAGGGCAGATTGATGAGCTTCAAACGTGCAGGGCGCTGCTCTATCCCTCCCGCTTGCGTGAGCACCCTCCCAAGCGTCCGGCCTCAACTTTAGAAAAAGATCAGGGAAAACAATCGCGATGCTTCCAAAAATGAGATCTCCTTATCCGACCAGTGAGGCCGGAGGAGCGAGCACCGGGCAACCCGCCCCGTAGGGGCTGTGCCACCGGTCGAGTAGGGCAACAAAGACAAGTCGGGAGCCCGCAGAACAGGTGGGAAGAGGAAATCCGATCTTTCGTTCGAAGTTCGAAAGCTCCACTCTTTCCCTCCCAAACTTCTGCCCCGGGTGCCCATGAGCCCACTCCTCCCGCAGGTGCTCGAACTCCTGTCGCATCTCCGATGTGAAGACTTCTCCCTCCTGGAACTCTTCGCCCTCGAACTCTTCGCCCTCCATGTACTCGCCCTCCTGGTGCGGCGGGCAAACTATGGGAGGAAAACTTGAGATCCCCGCCCGCAACTCCGTTGCCATGCGCCTTTTTGGCATTTTTCCTAGCAGGCCTCCAAAAAAAACAAGGAGGAAGGGAGGACAAGGGGGTAGGAACAAAGGACCAATGGAGTAACCGGCGAAAGTGGCAAGAAACGGCACAGTTTGGATGCCGTCAAAAAGAGGTGGGGAGAGGACAACTCTGGCTGTGACTGTTTCAAAGCGACGCCCAGCGGGGACGGAGCAACTGTTTTGGGGGAAGTGCCGCTCACTTCGGCAAGAAACAGCTCTTCACTGCTTAATTGCTTCGTTGCTTCTGCCCATCACCATTGACTAAAAGTTGGGCCCCTTTTCGGATGGCATTTGAAAGATCGACACCAAGTCTTCACGCCCACGCCTCGCCGCCTTCCCCCTCGCCGCCCTCGCCCTCGCCGTTGGCCCCCACACTGCGGCGGCGCCGGCGCACGGGCGCCGGGGTCTCCTCCTGATCGTTTGAAAGAAGAATTGCCTTGTCTGAAAATTTTGGCGCCCCATAAATGGTGTTTCTAATTGTCGGTTTCCTTGAAAACACACTTGCTTGAACAAATCTGCTTTCGGTTTTTCGGTCAAGGGGTATGCCCAGAGTTTGGTTGAACAGATTCTGCCATGGTCTCCTGCGGCTGGTTCTCCTCGCCCATCTCAATGATCACCCCCTGCGATCCGGCGGGGAGGATGTCCGGCAAACGAAGGCAAACTAGGGGAAACCAGTGTGTAAAACCTAGAGCTAAACGTCAACATGCCTGGGTCTCATTTGCCATCACCAGGAAATTCGGGTTGGTGCGCAGTTGGTGTGCCTGAGGATCCTTCTAGGAACATGCCCGTCCCTAAGCCCGGCCTTCTCCAGCATGGACAGGGCGAACTGCACGTGGGCCAAGCGGCCCCGCGCCTGGCCCACGTTGGCCATCTTGTCGCGGAGGACGGTGTTGACCTCGCCCGCTTGAGTGGGTGACCCGGAATCGCTGCCGCGCTGTTTCATCCACACTGCGGTTGTTCCGCCCGCCAACTGGCTGTGCGCAAAATGCTGGGGGCCCCTTCAAGTAGCTGATTTCCTCCTGGTGTCGTTGAGAACAAGCAGGGCTCAACTGATTTTGATATGTCTCGCACTGAGCCTGAGGAACGGGGTAAGCCGCGCCTTGCCGTGCTTCTGCCTGATGCGGCCAATGCCCTCTTCCATCTTCTCGCCTGCGCAGGGTAACAAGCAACTGAGGGTACCATGTCGGGGACAAAATCCCAAAGGGGGAAATCTTGACGGTCATCTGCCGGCTTCAATGACTGCGACATGGCCTGATGCACGTTCGGGCCAGCCAAGGCAGAAAAAGGCCGCCCGAGCAACTTCCCCCGGCTGCAAAACTGAGAGCGGTTGTCTGCACCCTGGGATGATTTTTACAGGAAAACCACTGATTGGAGGGCTCCCTGAAGCGTTCGGGTGGGAACCTTCAAGCCCAGGAAATGCCCAGATAACACAAAGGATGGATTAGGCCGACCGGTACTTCCAAGCAGACAAGAACATTTGTGAATGATGGCGATGCCTACATTGCAGACAAAAAGGGGTACATGATGGCTGACCACCAAGACCACTGGGGGTCCACGGGACAAATTCGAGAGTTTGTTTGCAGTCTTTGCCGTGAAAAATAAATCACGAAATTTCGACGGGTGACTCGTTTCAATCAACGTTGGCCCGGATTCCCAGACTCCCAAACGGTGCGGAACGCGGCCTTCGCGGTTCTTCTTCACTGTGGCCTGCTGCGCCTGCTGCTCTGTGCGGCTCAGCTGGCCAGTCAGCTTGTTCACCTGACATGCGGCTTGTCTTCAGGGAAACCCTACACGGTCTGGGTTGTCGTGCTTTGGTTTCCGTTCCAGAAAATAACAGCGACACCCGCGCAAAGAGAGAAGGACAACGCAACCAAAGAAAAACTGTGTCAAATTGCGGGTTTCAGGAAAGGTGGTTTCATGTCACTTAGTGGCCTTGGAGCGAAACTCTGGGCCCACCAAAGTAGAGGTGAAAGGGTTTGTTCCTTGGGTCGGCTATGTTGTCCGCGGTTCGGCGGGACAGTCCTGACAACAGTGCTCAAGTTTGCTTCCAAACACCACTGTTCAAAGGACACGGGTCATTGACCACACTCTTAGGACTTTGTTTTCGCCATAGGATACGACGGCCAGTGGCGGCCAGGGTGCCGACCGCGGAGACGTTTCAGCGTTTCAGCCCGCCTCCTGCTCGCTCTTGGTGAGGCCCCTCTGCGCCTGCTGCAGCTCCCGGCTCAGCTTCTTCTTGGCTTCCCGCAGCTCCTGCCGAAGGATACAACAGCTCCCGCCAAAGAGGAGATTTCATTTGTGTTGCAAATATATGGACCCCCCCCCACCTAAGGAACAGAACTCAAGAAGGGTCCCACACACGGCGAAAGGTCAGGGCTCCCTACTCCCCAGGCTTCCTGGAAACAAAACGTAAGCCACTTTAGATTGCCCCAACAAGTGCTGTTCAAAACCGCCCTCTAAGGGGAGAAACAGGTGCTGAAGACCAATTGCACACATAGGTGTACTGACATGGCTTGTTTCTGCTTGGCCCCCCTTTAAAGCCATCCAATAAGGGGTGCACCTTTCTACTCAGCCCCACGTTTCGCCTGTGCCCGCCTGTGTGCGCTTGCGCTCTGCCAGCTTCTTCGCGCGCTCCTGCGGACTGCCGAGTCAGGAGATCCTCAACCCTTAGGGGGCGCATGGGGCCCTTGGGGTTTTTGGGGTCTGGTTGGGAAGGGTCGATGCCTTTTGATGAGCTGGGTTACGCGCCCTCCTGCAGGCGATCGGTGGAGAATTTCCAATAACTCTTTCAGCATGTGTTTCCGAGCGAAACGCGAGAGATTGGCGACAACAATGAAATCGCTCAAGGCCTCTTGGCCTTTTGGGTCAACAAAAGCTGCAAGATCTCTCAGACCCCCTCTCTGCACGCTCTCTTCTGCCCCTCTCCTCATTCTTCTGCTGGGTCTCGAGATCCCTGAGCTTGGCCATCAACTCCGGGTCCTTCTGCGGGGAGCTTGCCCGCGGGTTGCCTCGCGCTGTGGCCGGCCGCATGGCTTTGAAGGCGTTGGTGCCTTTCAACGGCGGAGTCGGTGAGGTCGCGAAAGCGTTCGAGCCACGCGCTGCCGGCTGTGAAAGCGCGGGGCGTTCTGCACACTCAGCCGGAAGACACCAGGGCGGACGGTGGAGCTGCGCTCGCCAATGTCTAACTGCAAAGCTGGGAATGGCAAATCTGTTCGACAACTTTGCTTTGAAATCCAAAGGGCGGCAGCCACCTCAAGGTGGACCCGTACACAGACCGACACACTCACGCAAATGAGGTACTGCGCAACAGACAGGGCACCGCTAATGCGCTGCGGGCCTCTCCCTTGCGAGTGAGCTACAATCAGTATCAATCGGACCCCCCAAATCGTGCCAAGCGATTTGGATCTGAATTTCAAATGGGTTTTGGTGAATGCTTGGTTCCAATCGCTGGAACCTCACTGGAGCCTTGAGGCTTCCCCTTTTCTGGTCACGTACCCCAAAGGGGTGGAACTGAAACAAACATGTGGTTCCAAGTGGATGTCCGACCTCTATTCGTCATCTGCTCCAACCAAAGAAAACTCTGGCAACTGTCCAAAAGGATCGCTGGAACGGCTTCCCCAGGGCTCACTCTGCGCTCTTTCCGACTCTAAGCTGGGATTCGTCGGCGGATCCCGGAAGCCCCACAGCCCGATGCTTCTCTCGCGGGGCGACGTCCGGAGCAGTGTTGGGTTGCCCTCCCCAGAGACTTCACGTCTTCAGACTACTCTTGGGCTAACACCAGGTCGCCAGCATCCACAGCCCAAAAACGAAAGCGCAGGGCCAACCCCTCCGCCGCCACCCAGGAGGCTGATCGCTTTGCCTTTGGCAAGCGATCCAGGCTGGGGACCCGAACTTCGCACCGGGCGAATCCACGCGCGCGCCTGAAAAGGTCCCACGCTGCCGTAGGAGCTTGGTTTACTTGTTTCGTGTGGGGAACACGTGTTGATTTGGTTGAGAAACAACGCGCATGCCCTGCGCACGGAGACACCGTCAGCATGTCGTTCGTTCGCGTCCGAACCATCCCAAAAGGTGGTTGTCCCTTGAGACAAACCCACAACATTAACCCAGGATGGCTTAATGATTGCTTGATTCCTAGGTGGGGTGCAAGCCCACTTTTTAGAGGAAGCTTCACGTTTTGGGGGGGGGACATCCCAAAAAAAGTCACGCAAGGTCCCACTATCCAGGATTGAAAGGAAGTTATCCTCGCTGTTGAAACAACCCCCATCTCCACCTCATTTCCAAACGTCAAATGGAATTGCCTGGGACCTGGCAAACGCTGATCTGCGTGCCATGGCGGTTTGTACGCGATGGCCGCCGGTTCGAGGGCAAGGAAGTGGGTTTGCAGCGGAACCCCTCCCGGGGCTTTGACCAAAGTGTTGACACTTGGCCCCTGCTGGGGTCTAACCGGAGCGAAACTGTCACTTCCTTGCCTCGGATGAGACAGGCTGCCTCACCTGTGGAAGCACCCTATCTACAGTTGGCACCCCGTGCTCTCCGAGACCTGAGGCCCGACAGGGCGTCAAGAACCTGGCTCCAAAGCTGTCCTGAAACTGGGCAACAGCGATAGTCCCGAGAGCAACAGGCAAAAACCATGTGTGCGGCGCCAACCGCGCGCTTCGTCGCCAGCTTTCGCGGACTTCGTGGAGCACTGTGGCTCACCTGGACAGGTATCAAAGTGAGATTCCCGTCCCACCACTACCTCATCACTTTATAGGGCATTGCTCACTTCCGAAAGCAACATTGATCCACCAAGCATCCACACCCGGAAAGGCAGGAGTGTCTTGCTGGCTACTATCAAGGCTGATGTTGATGGGCATCCTTGTAGGGACTAGTGGGTCATTTTTTAGGGCAGCATGTACAAAAGCTGTCAAGCGATTGCGCGGCATGCCACTGGGAATTTCCCATGTGGGCGCCCTTCGCTTGACTCGCAACATCCTGAAGCTCTGGCGCTTGCGAGCTTTACTCAACCAATTACTCAATATGCATGCAAGCCCTGGTTGACCATCAAAACTGGCAAGAAGTGAAGGGATGAGCTGCTTCCCGAAAGACGAAGCATGTTCCTCTTTTGGGTTCGCAGCGAGAAACTGGTTGGAACCTGCATGATTCATCACGGTCGATCGTTGGTTTACTTGCGTAGGTCTATGAATGCGAATCTAGCAATTTACCTTTGGTGGACATCATTTGCATGGGGATGCACCAAACCACGAATCCACGAATCTTGTGCCACTGTTCCCATCAAATAGCCGTAGCTTCATATTCTTCCAAAGACCGGCACTGTTCGCTTAGTGGTTGCTGTCTGGTTTTTCGTTGGCTGTTCTTGTTTGTTTGTGGTCTTCTTTTGGGGGGAGTTTGAAAAGTAAACCAAAAGCAAACAACCATGTTTTGGGGGGGGGGGGGGGGGCCTGAGACGAATCCAAGGCTCGCCGTGCCTGATCATCGTGGGCGCCAAAGGCGCCGCCTTGCGAGTGAGAGTTCCTGGTGACTCCGTTCCGAGTTCGCCCTCCCCGGCGCAAAAACTGGCATCATCCTGAATGAACTTTGTTGTTGCCTTGTGACGGAACTTGTGGAATTCAAGGAGCTTGGTCTAACTGACGGCCTAAACAAAAAGCCACCCATGTCCTTGCTGGGCAGTTGGAGGGGAAACTTTTGACGTTGTCCCAAACGCTCAAAGTCTCAATCGGTCAAACCAAAAGCAACTAGAGGGATTTGGCGAGCGCTCTTGTGAAGAGCAAGGCTCTTTGTATGTCCACTTTTTCTTTGTGTGTCCGCTTGAACAGCATCCCAATGTTCAACTAGCCCAAAGAGGATGCTAAAGCCAACAACAAAAAATAACAAGGCTCAACAGTCACAAACACGCGTCTCCAATCATGAGATAATGTAAAGTGGTACCCTGGTACCCCGCAAACCCTATAATGATTGAGGTTGCATGAAGACCCCATGGCTCCTTCGCCCCCTGGCGACATCTCCCAAGCTCCGGACCACGGGCTTGCGCATGGACGGGGGGATGGCAACGGGCTCCGCCTCAATCGCCCGTCCGGCGCGGGCCGCGCCCCCTGGATTTGGCCCCCGGCTTCCCTGAAAGAAGCAACTCAGATCGAACGGCCCCAGCTCGCATCCTCCGGGTGTCCCTGCCATGGGCATCCTGTTGGGAGGCATCATGCCCATGCGCTGCAAAGGCACCGCACTGGCCGAGCCCTGGGCACGCTTGGCTGTGGGGGAAGAGGGGCTTAGGAAGGTCACAGTTTCTTCTGCCCCAACTCGAGTCAATGTCGCAAGATTTTCAGCCACAAATGTCTTGCCTACGCTGAAGCACCCATTCTAGGGTGGCAGTAAGCTGGGTTCGGAAGGGTTTGGGGCGGGCAGAAGGTGGCATAGGGTGGGGTTCCAACAGATTTGGAGTAAAGGCCACTTTTTGAAACTGAGGGCGAGAGGGAGCCCTGTCCATGAAAAACTCTGGAACTGCTGCAATGGCTTGGACCAAGTGCCATTCCGACTGGCATGCAACCACATCGCACCACTTGGAGCCCCGAAGAACACAAACCCCTTGCTTGCGGGCACCAAATCCGCAAAGCACTTCTAGGGTCGTTTCCTGGCGAAACCCTGCGTCCCTGGCCAGGAACGACTGGCCCATGGGCTTCATGGCGTCCTCGCTGGGAGTCGGGGCGCGACTCGTTCCCTGTTTTTTTCCGGAAGTCGAAAACCTAGAGCCCCGCCAAAGAGGAACTTGGAAAAGCAACCCGGAAGACAGAAAGTTCTAGTTCAAAACGACAAGAACGGTGCTTCTCGCAAAATATGGCCCTTCGCTCTATCGCATGGCTTTTCACGGCAAAGGAAACCGCCCAAAGGGGTGCGGTTGGGAAACACGTGAGTGTTTTCTGCGAAAAACCTGTTCAGTCTTCATCTGACTACATCACCCGCAAGCGGCTTGGTTGCGCTTGTTTCCCTTCCCCTTTTCCGCCGAGCGAAAAAAATAAATAGACGTACAAGAGGGCATGTTTTGTAACATCGTTCAGCCTTCCAACAAACCATTCAGGCCAAACAAACCGAATACAACAAGGCACTGGAACACACGACACCGCAACCCCACCCGGTCCGGGAAGGGCGTGGGCTGGTACCCGAATGGCCGCAGCATGGCGCCCGGCACGGCGCCCGGCGTGGCGCCCGGCATGGCGCCCGGCATGCTCACCTCGGGACTCGTTCGGTCAACCTGGGCAACTGGCTTTGGCGCCTGGACCCCTTTTTCAGCACCTTTTTTTGTCTTGGGCCCGGAGCATTCCCTTCTGCCCGGCTTTGACAGGTGCAAGCAAAAGGAAATAAGGAAGAAGAGAAAGGTGGCTGGTCTCACCAAACACCATTCCTTTCCATACTCCCAGGATCAACCATAGATCAACTAGACTTGCCAAAGCGAAGAAATATTTGAGATGGAACCACGCAGGGTTTCTCAACATACTGATGGACCGCAGAAGAAACGCAGCCAGAAAAGGGAAAGCGCCTGTGGGCAGCACGGGAAAATGGTCACCCAAGCGCAATTTCCCAAATGGCCCCGATTGCAGATTCACACAAAAAAAGGCCTCTTGTCCAACACAAAGGGTTGTTTGGTTCTTTTGCGCGCCCATGCTCTTTTCAGGTGATTCAATGCGGATCGCGACTGCGTGCGGTGTCACGTTGAGAGAAGTTCCTTGTGCCAAACAGGAATTTGGATGTTGCTCCCTTTGCTGAATTATTCCCTTCGCAGGAGAGACTTGAAGAAAACTACTGCAAAAGCCTGTTCCCTACTCATTTCAGGGATGGGCCCCCCCCCCAGACAAACATCGATCTACGAGCGAGACAGGGTTGCAAAACCTGCTGGCCGGCTCTGGTTCCCGTTTGGTTGGGGCGAGGAAGGCCCCTGTCGGCTTGCGCCAGGACACTTTGCTCCACGTCCGTACGAGCCATGGTCAAGATACATGGTTCGTGCAATGGACATGCGTCAGGCATACAGCCTTTTGTAAAGACAAGTAAAGGAGCTTGACGAAGCAGCTTGCCAGTGCAGGAGCCAGCTGGACAGCAAACTAGCTAATTAGATTTCGAGCGAGCTGGCTAGATAGATGGTGAACAAGCATGAACAAGCTAGTTGATCGGCTAATGAGCTGTTGGACCTTGTTCAGATTCGCATGATATGCAGGTGTACATATCACTGTGTGCATATGAGCTTGTCTTTCAATGGATGAACCCCAGAAATGTCTTCGCCCTTCTCCAAAAAATGGTGCCATCAAAACGAGCCATACGACCCACACCCACTAACACGGGTGAGGGATCAAAAACAAACTTGTTAGGCATCAAAAAACCTATTCCTGAAGATTAAAACGAATTATTAGGGATCAAAAAACTTTCTTTCTTAGATTTCCTACCAAAATAGGAACTCAGAGGATCAAAAAAGAAACTTGTTAGGGATCAAAAAATACTTCTTCATGTCGTGGCACGCGCGGCACTTTTGCAAGGTCAGGGGCTTTGTGGCAGGCACGGCACTTTCGCAAAGTCAGGTGAAGAGTTCGTGCAGATTTCGCGGCAGGCGCAGCACGGTACAGGTTTCGCGGCAGGCACAGCACTTTTGCAAGGTCAGGTACAGATTTCGTGGCAGGCACAGTACTTTCGCAAGGTCAGGTACAGATTTCGCGGCAGGCGCAGCACTTTCGCGATTTCGTGGCAGGTGCAGCACTTTCGCATCAGCGCGGCGCAGCACTTTCGCAAAGTACGGTACAGATTTCGCGGCAGGCGCAGCACTTTCGCAAGGTCAGGTACAGATTTCGTGGCAGGCGCAGTACTTTCGCAAGGTCGAGCAGGCGTTGCAAGGTCAGGTACAGATTCGCGGCAGGCGCAGCACTTTAGCAAGGTACGGTACAGATTTCGCGCCAGGCGCAGCACAGTACTTTTTCAGGCGCAGGACTTTCGCAGGGTGCGGTACAGATAGCCCCCCCCCCATGATCGAAGAAGTGATGATTCAACAAAGAGTGATGATGATCGAAGAAATGATGCTTCAGCAAAGAGTGCGTTAATCTCTGTAAACATTCGACAAACCAGCAGGGGGGGTTGGGCGGGGGGGCGGCAGCATGATTCAGCACAGGGTGCGTTAATCTCTGTACACATTCCGAAAATCAGCGTGGGGGTTGGGGGGGGCGGCAGCCCCCCTCCTGATGTTCGAACAAGCGATGATTGAACAAAGGGTAATGATGATCGAAGAAGTGATGATTCAGGAAAGGGTGCGTTAATCTCTGTAAACATTCCGAAAATCAGCGGACGGAGGTGGGGGGGCGGCACCCCCCCCCCCATGGTGATCGAAGAAGTGATGACGCAGCAAAGGGTGCGTCAAGCTCTGTAAACATTCTACAAATCAGCAGGGGGGTGGGGGGAGCGGCAGCCCCCCCCATGATGTTCGAAGAAGTCATGTTTCAACAAAGGGTGCGTTAATTTCGATAAACATTATGAAAATCAGCGTGGGGGTTGGGGGGGTGGCAGCCCCCCCATGATGATCGAAGAAGTGATGATTCAGCAAAGGGTGTGTTAAGCTCTGTCAGCATTCTAAAAATCAGCAGAGGGGTTGGGGGGGGCGGCAGCCCCCCCATGATGATCGAAGAAGTGATGATTCAACAAAGGGTGTTAAGCTCTGTAAGCATTCTACAAATCAGCAGGGGGGTTGGGGGGGGCGGCAGCCCTGCGCGAAGAAGCGATGATTCAACAAAGGGTGATGATGATCGAAGAAGCGATGATTCAGCAAGGGTGCGTTAATCTCTGTAAACATTCTACAAATCAGCGGGGTGGTTGGGGGGGGGGGGGGGGGGCCTTCCTTCCTTCCTTTCTTCCTTCCTTCCTTCCTTCCTTCCTTCCTTCCCTCCCTCCTTCCTTCCTTCCTTCCTTCCTTCCTTCCTTCCTTTTCCCATAGCAATAAAAAAAGTGTCTTTTGATCCCTAATAAAGTTTTTGTTGACCCCTAATAAGTTTGTGTGATGCCTAATAAGTGTTTTTGATGCCTATCCCCACTAACACTGTTCTTTGCACCCAAGAGGACCTGGAAAGATCGAGTTGTTACCCTGATGTTCGGTCGATATTTTGGCTGCCCAAAGGTGACGACTATCCACGCCAACCTCCAGCAAAGGTGTTTTCTTCCGCCAAGGCGCCATGCGACTCGGCGGCATGCCCGCATACATCACGGGCTTCTCCATTGGTTTCTGGCCTGCCCGCCACCAGCCCCCTCCTGTATAGGCATCGGTTTTATTGAATGGTGAACACCTAGGTCTATTTTGCAGCCTGCTTCTAGGTGTCGGGTGTTCGGGTTTGGGCTTGCTACATCATCTATCAGCGTCCGTGGCACCTCCTCCCCGGAGCAAGACGGAACTGAGCTTCTAGCGCAGAAAGGGCGTGATTTCCTGGGAAACAAGCTCTGCTTTTAGCATTCGCACTGTAGAAAGTGATTCAACGATTCGGAATCAGAGCAAACGTTTGGGCGGCATGTTCTATTTCTCACCATGCTGCGGTTTCCCTTGTTTATGGCTGTGTCAGAAAGAGTTGGAACCCTGTCTGGTGCAAAACTGAAACATATATGGTAAGGGTGGCGCTTAATGGCTTTGGACACCTAGGGCCACTCTTGGCTCCCCGCCCTCCACCCCAAACGGAAAGGAGTAAACGGCTCTCTGCCAGAAAAACTGGGTTTGAGGATCGCAAACATGTCCTGACTGCATGCTTTGCTGCTTGAACTTGTCTGGACATGGGAAATCAAACAGTATCATTTGCTCTGCTTTTCGAAATGTGCGCAATTCCTTGTGCATGATGGCGTACGCATGTGTGCAAACATGTTCTTTTGTTAAACTTGGGTTGTGGCTGCGCATTTAAGACCCACCTCCACCTCAGCCCTCCCCCGCTTCTTTGGGATAGCTTCAAGACAAAAAATGAAAGTGATGATCAAGGAAAGCATATCTTAACAAGCCGCGCCCACAGCCCACCTGCCAGCAGGGAAGGGAACTGCACGGTACTGGCCGGGGACTGTGCCGTGAGCGCCGGCTGCGTGAAGGGCCGGAGGTTCCTGAGAGGAGCTCCCCCCCCCCATGCCACAGGGAGCCGAGGCTTTTTGTTTGTCAGGCCTCCTTATTTCAAGGGTTTCCTTAGAAGCCCCACGCTGAGATTGGTTGAGGGGGTGAAGACACCTTGAAAAACAAATCAATTGTGGGATTCAACCATGCTTGCAATCAGTTTGCTTCATTGTATTCAGTGAAACCAGACAGAGTGAGCCATGCATTCTGGGGGACCGAATCCTCATTTCGACACATGCCCATTTGCAAGGGCCACGTCCCCCAACTAACTCCGTGTCGGATTTTGGCAAGGTCGCTGCCCAAAATTGCCGGCTTCCATTTTTGGACTTCCATGGCTCCAGTTGTCGTTGTTTTTTCGAGGGTACACCTTTTGTTGCTTGCTTTAAAGGGACACCAAAAGGAAAACCAAAATCCATTTTGGGGGTCCTCAAAAAAGGGCACGCCCATGTATTTATTTCTTACCAACATGTTGGGTTGCCGGGGGAGTTTGCCTGGACCAAATGACGGTCACTCTGGATGTGGGTTGGGAATTGCGCAAATCCTACGCAAATAGCAGCAAATCGTAGCTTCGGCGCGATCAAAGAATGCCACCAACACTTTGATGCAGCTGCCCAGGCCCCGCTGCCTTGTATACGTATGCAGACAAGTCATGAGCTGCGCTGAGAACTCGCTCAGAACTTCCGTTCCTGCTCGGTACCGAGAGCGCAGCAGGTAGCAAGAAGACCCCAAGCGCTCTTAGACACCAGGTGTCTAAAACCTCACATGGCGCGTAGGGCTGGGAGCTCAGGATCGACTAGTTTGAAGCATGGGTTGGCCTCGACATGCTGGAAACATGGACCCGTGTTCTTTCCATCCGCCCCCCCCCGGTTCCCTCATCCCCTCCCCCTCGACAGCGGCGAACATTCGCTGAGGATCGGCACGCACGGGGCAGCATGAAAGTCCGCGCAACCCCCCCCGTCAACCAAACATGTTGGAGACTCTTCCCATGGAGCTGTCAAGCTTCGGGGACTGCGCTGGGCTCTCGCGGCTGCTGTGCATCGTAGAGATTGTGTCCATGGTGGCGTCCAAGGGCTGGTCCTCCTCCCCAAAGAAACGAAGCGTTGGAATGGAGCCTGAGTCAAATATAGAAAGATAACGGAAGAAAGACACAGAGATATAGCAAGATATAGAAAGATATGGAAAGAAAGAAAGAAAGAAAGAAAAGAATCCCACCACCTGCCTTCGCCTGCCAACTGGCCTAAAGTGGTTTCTCAAGTCGGTCCAGGTCCTCCTTGCCCAGCAAGGACTTCTCCAAGCTCTCCTCGTGGTTGGCGGAGCTACGGTGCTCCAAAACCTCCTGCGCCTGAGCCAGCGGAATCGACGTGCCGCGTCTAGCCAGCCATCGTGTGGTTTTGGTTTAGGCGTCTGGCATCGACATCTCTGTGCTTTCCTCGCAGCCGGGGTGATGCTCAACTTTCTTCCCGTGAACCGCCTTCCGCAGAGTTTTCAAGGATACATGTAAGCGTAAACATCAAGATCCTAGAACAACGGGGCGCCTCAAAGGCCAACAACTTGCCCGGTTCCTGCAGGGACATCTGGAGGGCCGACTGAGCACAGGAAGCCATTGGAAGCCACTGCGGTGCAACACAACCCCTCTTGGTGGCAAACATCCATTGGAGAAAGAAGCGTCCTTGGTCTTCGACCAACTGGGTGTGGGTCAAAATTACACCACCAGGGGACCGCAGGTTTTGGTCCATGTTGCCACTTACAGGGGTTCCATTTTGGGTACCGATTTTTGACCCACAGCCAATTTTCCAATGGCAAGGCCACCCGCCGCCCGCGTCGCCCGCGTCGCCGCGTGGCCCTCGCCCGCGTGGCCCTCGCCCGCGTCGCCCGCGTCGCCCGCGTCGCCCGCGTCGCCCGCGTCGCCGCCCGGACGCCTGCTGCAGCAACTGCACCGCGCTGATGCAGCGCTGGTCCGAGTCCGCTAGGTGCTCCCGGAGCTGGCGGTTCTCCTCGCCAGAAGCCCAGCAATGAGCATCGGTTAAGGAAAATTTACAGTGGAAGATAAACGTTGAAGTCTAACTGCGAGCTTAACACTCACAAAAACAATTAGTGCGGGTTTGTCTTGATTGGTTCTTCGTTTGCCCAGTTAAGAGTTTGTAAGCAACCATATCTTGCTTGGTTGGACTTGTGAATTTCCACAACCGCGCCTCGCATATTCAGAACGGCTTTTGTCGTGTTCCCCTGTAAACTTTGGAAAAAGATCAGGATTGCGGAAAATCCTTCCCAAGCGTCCAGCCTCAACTTTAGAAAAAAAGATCGGGGATCAAGGAAAAAAATCCAGAAACCCGAAATCAGGATCGCGGAAACTGAATTTCGGAGATCTCTCCCTCTTACACAACTCGCCTACCGGTGAGGTCTGCGGCACCCACCGCTCGAGTCGCAAGGAAAACAAGAAAAGCTCGGGAGCCCGCAGAAAAGGAGAGGAAATCCGATGTATTTTTTTTCGGAGCTTCCTCCATTGTTTTTTCTCGATTTTTCGAAAGCTCCACTCTTTCCCTCCCAAACTTCTTGTGCCCCGGGTGACCATGAGCCCACTCCTCCCGCAGGTGCTCGAACTCCTGGCGCATCTCCGATGTGAAGACTTCTCCCTCCTGGAACTCTTCGCCCTCGAACTCTTCGCCCTCCATGTACTCACCCTCCTGGCGCGGCGGGAGGAAAACTTGAGTTCCCCGCCCGCAACTCCGTTGCCATGCGCCTTTTTGGCATTTTTCCTAGCAGGCCTCCAAGAAAAAACACAAGGAGGAAGGGGGGACAAGGGGGTAGGAACAAGGGACCAATGGAGTAACCGGCGAAAGTAACAAGAAGCGGGACAGTTTGGATGCCGTCAAAAAGAGGTGGGGAGAGGACAACTCTGGCTGTGACTGTTTCAAAGCGACACCCAGCGGGGACGGAGCTACTGTTTTGGGGGAAGTGCAGCTCACCTCGGCAAGAAACCGCTCTTCACTGCGTCATTGCTTCGTTGCTTCTGCCCATCACCATTGACTAAAAGTTGGGTCTCTTTTCGGATGGCATTTGAAAGATCGGCCAAGTCTTCACGCCCACGCCTCGCCGCCTTCCCCCTCGCCGCCCTCGCCCTCGCCGTTGGCCCCCACGCTGCGGCGGCGCCGGCGCACGGGCGCCGGGGTCTCCTCCTGATCGTTTGAAAGAAGAATTGCCTTGTCTGAAAATTTTGGCGCCCCATAAATGGTGTTTCTAACTGTCGGTTTCCTTGAAAACACACTTTGAACAAATCTGCTTTCGGTTTTGGTTGAACAGATTCTGCCATGGTCTCCTGCGGCTGGTTCTCCTCGCCCATCTCAATGATCACCCCCTGCGATCCGGCGGGCAGGATGTCCGGCAAACGAAGGCGAAACCGGTGTGTAAAACCTATAGCTAAACGTCAACATGCCTGGTTCTCATTTGCCATCACCAGGAAATTCGGGTTGGTGCGCAGTTGGTGTGCCTGAGGATCCTCCTAGGAACATGCCCGTCCCTAAGCCCGGCCTTCTCCAGCATGGACAGGGCGAACTGCACGTGGGCCAAGCGGCCCCGCGCCTGGCCCACGTTGGCCATCTTGTCGCGGAGGACGGTGTTGACCTCGCCCGCTTGAGTGGGTGACCCGGAAACGCCGCCGCGCTGTTTCATGGACGCTGCGGTTGTTCCGGCCCCCAACTGGCTGTGCGCAAAATGCCGGGGGCCCCTTCAAGTAGCTGATTTCCTCCTGGTTTCGTTGAGAACAAGCAGGGCTCAACTGATTTTGATATGTCTCGCATTGAGCCTGAGGAACGGGGTAAGCCGCGCCTTGCCGTGCTTCTGCCTGATGCGGCCAATGCCCTCTTCCATCTTCTCGCCTGCGCAGGGTAACAAGCAACTGAGGGTACCATGTCAGGGACAAAAATCCCAAAGGGGGAAGTCTTGACGGTCATCTGCTAAGGTGGCTTCAACTGGGACACCTACAGCGTGGAATGTACCTATCGTTGCCACCTCGAGGCAAATGGCCCCCGTCAAATGGACCGCTTCAAAGACTGCGACATGGCCTGATACACGTTCGGGTCCCAAAGCCGGAAAGCTAAGCCCAGCCAAAGGCAGAAAAACTTCCGATGTTTTTACAGGAACATTGGAGGGCTCCCTGAAGCGTTCGGGTGGGAAGGAACCTTGGAGCCTAGCCAGCGGAGTCCCATGCAAACCGACCGTCTGACGGTTTGGGTTGGGACAAACAGCCCTGTATCTCACATCCTGTACTGTAGTGGAACATTGTGAATGATGGCTATGCCTACATGCCAAGGTGCATATGGGTAGCAGACAAAAGGGGCACATGATGGCTGACCACCAAGACCACTGAGGGTCCACTCAGGACAAATTCGAGATTTTGTTTGCAGTCTTTGCCATGAAAAAAGAAATCACGGAAATTTTGATGGGTGACTCGTTTCAATCAACGTTGGCCCAAATCCCCAGACTCCCAAACAGTGCGGAACGCGGCCTTCGCGGTTCTTCTTCACTGTGGCCTGCTGCGCCTGCTGCTCTGTGCGGCTCAGCTGGCCAGTCAGCTTGGTCACCTGGCATGCGGCTTGTCTTCAGGGAAAACCCTACACGGTCTGGGTTGTTGTGCTTTGGTTTCCGTTCCAGAAAAGAACATGCCCCTTTCGATTTCGAAAACACGGCCCAGCAAGCGACACCCGCACAAAGCGAGAGAAGGACAACGCAACCAAAGAAGGACTGAGTCAAATTGCGGATTTCAGGAAAGGCGGTTTCATGTCACGTAGTGGCCTTGGAGCGAAACTCTGGGCCCACCAAAGAAGAGGTGGAAGGGTTTGTTCCTTGGGTCGCCTATGTTGTCCGCGGTTCGGCGGGACAGTCCTGACGACAGACACGGGTCATCGGCCACACTCTCAGGGCTTTTTTTTCGTTATCCTGTTGAACCATAGCAGAGGAGGTCAGGGTGCCGACCGCGGAGACGTTTCAGCCCGCCTCCTGCTCGCTCTTGGTGAGGCCCCTCTGCGCCTGCTGCAGCTCCCGGCTCAGCTTCTTCTTGGCCTCCCGCAGCTCCTGGCGAGGCTTGCAGGGCCCAAAGGGACGGGCGCGGTGGTCCGAGCCGCGTGCAGGAGCAAACTCCGGCAAGACAAGAGAAGAACATCGCGGAGTCGGTCTGCTCAAGTAAACCCCGACAAGCGGGCGGTTTGATGCTGTGCTTTCGTGGGAACCCCACTTCGGAGCCACGGATTTCAGGGCCGAATGGCTCCCGCCAAAGAGGAGAGTTCGTCAACCCTGTATGTCATTTGTGTTGCAGATGCATGCACCCCCGCCACCTAAGGAACAGAACTCAAGCCCACCTAAGGAACAGAACTCAAGAAGGGTCCTACACACGGCGAAAGGTCAGGGCTCCCTACTCCCCAGGCTTCCTGGAAACAAACCGTGAGCCACTTTAGATTGCCCCAAGAAGCGAGGGGAGAAACAGGTGCTAAAGAACTATTTTGCACACATAGGTGTACTGACATGGCCTGTTTCTGCTTGGCCCCCCTTTAAAGCCATCCAATAAGGGGTGCACCTTTCTACTCAGCCCCACGTTTTGCCTGTGCCCGCCTGTGTGCGCTTGCGCTCTGCCAGCTTCTTCGCGCGCTCCTGCGGACTGCCGAGTCAGGAGACCCTCAACCCTTAGGGGGCGCATGGGGCCCTTGGGTTTTTGGGGTCTGGTTGGGAAGGGTCGATGCCTTTTGATGAGCTGGGTTACGCGCCCTCCTGCAGGCGATCGGTGGAGAATTTCCAATAACTCTTTCAGCATGTGTTTCCGAGCGAAACGCGAGAGATTGGCGACAACAATGAAATCGCTCAAGGCCTCTTGGCCTTTTGGGTCAACAAAAGCTGCAAGATCTCTCAGACCCCCTCTCTGCCCGCTCTCTTCTGCCCTCTCCTCGTTCTTCTGCTGGGTCTCGAGATCCCTGAGCTTGGCCATCATCTCCGGGTCCTTCTGCGGGGAGCTTGCCCGCGGGTTGCCTCGCGCTGTGGCCGGCCGCATGGCTTTGAAGGCGTTGGTGCCTTTCAACGGCGGAGTCGGTGAGGTCGCGAAAGCGTTCGAGCCACGCGCTGCCGGCTGTGAAAGCGCGGGGCGTTCTGCACACTCAGCCGGAAGACACCAGGGCGGACGGTGGAGCTGCGCTCGCCAATGTCTAACTGCAAAGCTGGGAATGGCAAATCTGTTCGACAACTTTGCTTTGAAATCCAAAGGGCGGCAACCACCTCAAGGTGGACCCGTACACAGACCGACACACTCACGCAGATGAGGTTCTCCCTTGCGAGTGAGCTACAATCAGTATCAATCGGACCCCCCAAATCGTGCCAAGCGATTTGGATCTGGATCTGAATTTCAAATGGGTCTTGGTGAATGCTTGGTTCCAATCGCTGGAAGCCCACTGGAGCCTTGAGGCTTCCCCTGTTTTGGTCACGTACCCCGAAGGGGTGGAACTGAAACAAACATGTGGTTCCAAGTAGATGTCTGATCTGTATTCGTCATCTGCTCGACTCCAACCAAAGGAAACTCTGGCAACTGTCCAAAAGGATCGCTGGAACGGCTTCCCCAGGGCTCACTCTGCGCTCTTTCCGACTCTAAGCTGGGATTCGTCGGCGGATCCCGGAAGCCCCACAGCCCGACGCTTCTCTCGCGGGGCGACGTCCGGAGCAGTGTTGGGTTGCCCTCCCCAGAGACTTCACGTCTTCAGACTACTCTTGGGCTAACACCAGGTCGCCAGCATCCACAGCCCAAAAACGAAAGCGCAGGGCCAACCCCTCCGCCGCCACCCAGGAGGCTGATCGCTTTGCCTTTGGCAAGCGATCCGGGCTGGGGGACCCGAACTTCGCACCGGGCGAATCCACGCGCGCGCCTGAAAAGGTCCCACGCTGCCGTAGGAGCTTGGTTTACTTGTTTCGTGTGGGGAACACGTGTTGATTTGGTTGAGAAACAACGCGCATGCCCTGCGCACGGAGACACCGTCAGCATGTCGTTCGTTCGAGTCCGAACCATCCCAAAAGGTGGTTGTCCCTTGAGACAAACCCACAACATTAACCCAGGATGGCTTAATGACAGCTTGATTCCTAGGTGGGGTGCAAGCCCACTTTTTAGAGGAAGCTTCACGTTTTGGGGGGGGGACATCCCAAAAAATGTCACGCAAGGTCCCACTATCCAGGATCGAAAGGAAGTTATCCTCGTTTCCAAACGTCAAATGGAATTGCCTGGGACCTGGCAAACGCTGATCTGCGTGCCATGGCGGTTTGTACGCGATGGCCGCCGGTTTGAGGGCAAGGAAGTGGGTTTGCAGCGGAACAGGAACCAACCCCTCCCGGGGCTTTGACCAAAGTGTTGACACTTGGCCCCTGCCGGGTCCGGAGCGAAAGTGGCACTTCCTTGCCTCGGATGAGACAGGCTGCCTCACCTGTGGAAGCACCCTATCTACAGTTGGCACCCCGTGCTCTTCGAGACCTGAGGCCCGACACTCGCAGGGCGTCAAGAACCTGGCTCCAAAGCTGTCCTGAAACTGGGCAACAACGCGAGTCCCGAGAGCAACAGGCAAAAGCCATGTGTGCGGCGCCAACTGCGCGCTTCGTCGCCAGCTTTCGCGGACTTCGTGGAGCACTGTGGCTCACCTGGACAGGTATCAAAGTGAGATTCCCGTCCCACCACTACCTCTTCACTTTATAGGGCATTGCTCACTTCCGAAAGCAACATGATCCACCATGCATCCACACCGGGAAAGGCAGCAGTGTCTTGCTGGCTACTATCAAGGCTGATGTTGATGGGCATCCTTGTAAGGACTAGTGGGTTATTTTTTTGGGCAGCATGTACAAAAGCTGTCAAGCGATTGCGCGGCATGCCACTGGGAGTTTCCCATGTGGGCGCCCTTCGCTTGACTCGCAACATCCTGAAGCTCTGGCGCTTGCGAGCTTTACTCAACCAATTACTCAATATGCATGCAAGCCCTGGTTGACCATCAAAACTGGCAAGAAGTGAAGGGATGAGCTGCTTCCCGAAAGACGAAGCATGTTCCTCTTTTGGGTTCGCAGCGAGAAACTGGTTGGAACCTGCATGATTCATCACGGTCGATCGTTGGTTTACTTGCGTAGGTATATGAATGCGAATCTAGCAATTTACCTTTGGTGGACATCATTTGCATGGGGATGCACCAAACCACGAATCCACGAATCTTGTGCCACCGTTCCCATCAAATAGCCGTAGCTTGATATTCTTCCAAAGACCGTCACTGTTCGCTCAGTGATTGCTGTCTGGTTTATCGCTGGCTGTTCTTGTTTGTTTTTGTTCTTCTTTTGGGGGGAGTTTGAAAAGTAAACCAAAAGCAAACAACCATGTTTTGGGGGGGCCTGAGACGAATCCAAGGCTCGCCGTGCCTGATCATCGTGGGCGCCAAAGGCTCCGCCTTGCGAGTGAGAGTTCCTGGTGACTCCGTTCCGAGTTCGCCCCTCAAGATCCCTCCCTGACGCAAAAACTGGCATCATCCTGAATGAACTTTGCTGTTGCCTTGTGACTAAGGCTCATGGAATTCGTGGCCACAAGGAACTTGTTGAATTCAAGGAGCTTGGTCTGACTGACGGCCTGAACAAAAGGCCGCCCATGAAACGTTCAAAGTCTCAATCAGTCAAACCAAGAGCAACTAGAGGGGTTTGGTGAGTGCTCTCGTGAAGGGCAAGGCTCTTTACATGTCCACTTGTTCTTGATGTGTCCGCTTGAACAGCACCAAAGAGGATGCTAAAGACAAAAAAAAAAACAAAACAAGGCTCAACAGTCACAAACACGCGTCTCCAATCATGAGATAATGTGGCTCAATAGCACTCCAATACCCCGCAAACCCCATTCAAATGATTGAGGTTGCATGAAGACCCCATGGCTCCTTCGCCCCCTGGCGACATCTCCCGAGCTCCGGACCACGGGCTTGCGCATGGACGGGGGGATGGCAACGGGCTCCGCCTCAATCGCCCGTCTGGCGCGGGCCGCGCCCCCTGGATTTGGCCCCCGGCTTCCCTGAAAGAAGCAACTCAGCTCCAACGGCCCCAGCTCGCATCCTCCGGGTGTCCCTGCCATGGGCATCCTGTTGGGAGGCATCATGCCCATGCGCTGCAAAGGCACCGCACTGGCCGAGCCCTGAGCACGCTTGGCTGTGGGGGAAGAGGGGCTTAGGAAGGTCACAGCTTCTTCTGCCCCAACTCGAGTCAATGTCGCAAGATTTTCAGCCACAAATTGCTTGCATACGCTGAAGCACCCGTTCTAGGGTGGCAGTAAGCTGGGTTCCACAGCAACGTGAAGCAAGGCAAGCCAAGTGCCATTCCGACTGGCATGCAACCACATCGCACCACTCGGAGCCCCGAAGAACACAAACCCCTTGCTTGCGGGCACCAAATCCGCAAGTTTTATTCCTGGGGTCGTTCCCTGGCGAAACCCTGCGTCCCTGGCCAGGAGCGACTGGCCCATGGGCTTCATGGCGTCCTCGCTGGGAGTCGGGGCGCGACTCGTTCCCTGTTTTTTCCGGAAGTCGAGAACCTAGAGCCCCGCCAAAGAGGAAACTTGGAAAACAATCTGGAAGACCAAAAGTTCTAGTTCAAAACGACAAGAACGGTGCTTCTCGCAACGTATGGCCCTTCGCTCTGTCGCATGGCTTTTCAAGGCAAAGGAAACCGCCCAAAGGGGTGTGGTTGGGAAACACGTGGGTGTTTTCTGCGAGAAACCTGTTCAGTCTTCATCTGACGGAGCTACATCACCCGCAAGTGGCTTGGTTGCGTTTGTTTCCCTGCCCCTTTTTCCGCCAAGCGCAGGAAAAACAACGTACAAGTGGTCATGATTTGTAACATCGTTCAGCCTTCCAACATTCAGGCCAAACAAACCGAATACAACAAGGCACTCGAACACGCGACGCCGCAACCCCACCCGGTCCGGCGGGAAGGGCGTGGGCTGGTACCCGAAAGGCCGCAACATGCCCGGCATGGCGCCCGGCATGGCGCCCGGCGTGGCGCCCGGCAAGGTGCCGCCCGGCATGCTCACCTCGGGACTCGTTCGGTCAACCTGGGCAACTGGCGTTGGCGCCTGGACCCCTTTTTCAGCCCCTGGATTTTATTTTGTTTGTTTAAGGGTGTAAAGCTTTGTTCGTCGACCTTCGCACTGCCTATTATTACGCTGTCGGCTACTACCGTCAGGACGGCTCGCTCGAGCAAGTCCTGGACAGGCTGCAGCATGTTCCAAGCGTGAAGCAGCTAGTCCTTGCGCACTGTAGTCAATCCGGATCGTCTGTTTTCCGGGAGCTTCCCTCTATCCTGCAGGATCAGTTGAGGGATTGGCAGCGCCACACATGGTTCCGTCGCTTTGCAAACCCACTTGGACAGGGATCCCAGGTGTCCGTGTCGCTTACCGGGACACGTCCTGGCTTACCTTTGGCTGACCTGCTTTTCAACTTGGCCGCAATCGATGTTTTATGTGTCCCGAGCGTTCGCAGCGCTTCGCTTCCAAGGCCCGGCTCGCCAACCACCGCTTCTGCGCGCATCGCGTGCGCTCAGTGTCACGTGCCTTTCGCGACGTTACCCACTGCGTCGCATGCCTCGCTGAGTGCTATCACACTGCCCGGCTTCAAAGTCACTACTACAGCCATGCAAAGACGCGCTGGCATTTCGCACTCCGCAACCGAACTTTTGATCTTCGAGCGTCGTTCCCTGTAATCAAGCCACCTGCCTTGTTGGTTGGGCACAAGCGCGTCCCTGCTGTTTGCTTGGAGGGCCCCTCGCCACCTTGTCTTGAGGAACGGTTTGGTAGTGACTGCCTCACGGCGGCTTTTCCCACGTTGTTGGCCGATGTCATTCGCGAGCCTGAGGGGCCACCTCAGCCGGTTGCTGATGGAAATGTGCTTGCTGCCGCCTCCTGCGCAGCCCCAAAGACTGAAATTCCGAAGTTGGTGCTTGCTATGTACATACTTGGGTCGGTTTTCCGAGTGCTGCCGCTGAACTTGAAGCGCAAGACTTGCAAGCTTGTCCAGCCGTCAACTTTGAGCAGACTTGCGAAAGCCCCTTGCAAGGCCTGACGCTCGAGAAGCCAACGTACTTTGTGTTGCACTTGCCATGCCAAGCCTGGAGAATTTCCGGGCTCCGGGCACTCTTGGTCGCTCCCTTCGCGCACCGTTAAGGGGTTGCAGCAACTCGAGCTTGCCAACTCACTTCTCTTCAACAGTCTGAAAATCCTCCTGACTGTTTTTGCCACAGGTGGAGCTGTGTTTTCACATCTTCCAGCAGAGATGTCAAATCCGGCCATCCTTTCGCTGGAAGATCCCGCAACTCAAGTGGGTTCTGCAGCTGCCTGCCTTTCAGCTGCTCGCCGTGTACCCGCGCGATTGCAACCAGGTCACTTCGAAGGCCGTCGACCTCCTGCTTGGAAATGTGCCTGACGCCGTTGCGTGCTTGGCCCGCCGCAATCTCCCATCACATCTCTCTCCTGCCCGTGGGGCGCAGGTGCGCGTGCAAGTTGCGATCGCCGACTGCCTGGTTGCACGCACGCTGCAGTTGCATCGCACCCTGCCTCAGCCTCCTGAGTGTGCAAATGACTTTGCTCGCATTCGTGCGCTGCTGCCCGCAAGTAGTCAGTGTGCGTAGGCCCTGTTTTCGGCTGCGGTGCGGGCAGCCCAGTAATTCGTTTTGCCCTGCAAGGACAAGGCAGCAGACATGGAGCCTTTTGCGCCAGAAGAAGAAGAAGGAGGGTGTAAAGCCGCGGCCCGGAGAGCCGGCATTGTTTGGGCCCGGAGCATTCCCTTCTGCCCAGCTTGAACAGGTGCAAGTAGAACAAAATAGGGAAGCAGAGAAAGGTGGCTGGTCTCACCAAAGGATCAACCATAGATCAACCAGACTTGCCAAAGCGAAGAAATATTTGAGACGCAGAAGAAACGCATCTGGAAAAGGGAAAGCGCCTGCGGGCAGCGCGGGAAAATGGTCACCCAAGCGCACTTTCCCTGATGGCCCCGATTGCATATTCACACTAAAAAGGGCCTCTTGTCCAACACAAAGGGTTGTTTGGTTCTTTTGCGCGCCCGTGCTCTTTTCAGGTGATTGTGCGGATCGCGACTGCGTGCGGTGTCACGTTGAGAGAAGTTCCTTGTGTCGTTTGGATGTTGCTCCCTTTGCTGAATTGGTTCCCTTCTCAGGGGAGACTTGAAGAAAACTACTGCAATGGGCAAGACAAAGTTGCAAAACCTGCTGGCCGGGCTCTGGTTCCCGTTTGGTTGCGGCGAGGAAAGGCCCCTGTCGGCTCGCGCCGGGACACCTTGCTCCACGCCGGCATGCAATGTCCATACGAGCCATGGTCAAATACATGGTTCACGCAATGGACACGCCTGACCACGTGCAGGCATTTGTCATGTCAGGTAGAGGAGCTGGCGACGCAGCTTGCTAGTTCAGGAGCCAGCTAGACAGCAGCCAATTTAGGTTCGCTAGCCAGCTGGTTAGATGGTGAACGAGCATGAACAAGCTGGTTGATTGGCTAGATTCGCACGATGCGCAGGTGTACATATCAGTCTATGCATACGTTTCCTGCAGTTTGCCCTTCCCCAAAAAAGTGTACCATCAAAAAAGAGCCACACGACCCATACCCACTGAGACTGTTCTTTGCACCCAAGAGGGCCTGGAAAGATTGAGTTGTTACCCTGACAGAGGTTAATGACTATCCCTGCCAACCTCCTGCGAAGGAGTTCAGGGCACAAAACGCCAAGGCGCCATGCGGCTCGGCGGCATGCCCGCATACATCATGGGCTTCTCCATTGGCTTCTGGCCTGCCCACCACTCCCCTCCCGTGCATAAAGAATGGTGGACACCTAGGGTCTATTTTGCAGCCTGCTTCAGGGTATCGGGTTTTAGGGTTTGGGCTTGCTACGTCATCTATCAGTGTCCATGGTCACTTCCTCCCTGGAGCAAGCTTCTAGCGCAGAAAGGGCGTGATTTCCTCTTAAACAAGCTCTGCTTTTAGCATTCGCACTATAGAAAGTGCTTTAACGATTCGGAATCAAAGCAAAAATTTGGGCGGCATGTTCTATTTCTCACCCTGCTGAGGTTCCCCTGTTTATGGCTGCGAGAGAAAAAGTTGGAACCCTGTCTGGCGCAAAACTGAAACATATGTATATATATATAAAGAACCTACCTGGCTTTGCGAAAGCCTGCAGCTTGGGTGGCGCTTAATGGCTTTGGACACCTAGGGCCACTCTTGGCTCTCTATAAATACGCCCTCCACCCCAAACGGAAAGGAGTAATCGGTCTGCCAGACAAACAGGGTTTGAGGATCGCAAACATGTCCTGACTTCATGCTTTGCTGCTTGAACTTGTCTGGACATGGGAAATCAAACAATTTCAAATGCTTTGTTTTTAGAAATGTGCGCAATTCCTTGTGCATGATTGCGTTATTTATTTTACTTATTTTTTACTTGGGTTGTGGCTGCGCATTTAAGACCCACCTCCACCTCAGCCCTCCCCCACTTCTTTGGGATAGCTTCAAGACAAAAAATATGAAACCACATTTTGTGATGATCAAGGAAAACACATCTTAACAAGCCGCTTGGGGCGCTGCGAGGCACAGCCCACCTGCCAGCAGGGAAGGGAACTGCACGGTACTGGCCGGGGACTGTGCCGTGAGCGCCGGCTGCGTGAAGCAGCGCCGGAGGTTCCTGAAAGGAGCTCAACCCCAACCCCCCCCCCATGGGAGCCAAAGCCTATTTGTTTCTCAGGCCTCCTTATTTCAAGGGAAGCCCCACGCTGACATTGGCTGAGGGGGTGAAGACACATTGAAAAAACAAACCACTTCATTGCATTCAGTGAAGCCAGAGGGAGCGAGCCATGTATTCTGGGGGTCCGAATCCTCATTTCGCCACATGCCCAGTAACTCCGTTTCGGATTTTGGCAAGGTCGCTGCCCAAAATTGCCGGCGTCCATTTTGGACTTCCATGGCTCCAGTTGTCGGTCATTCTTCGAGGGTACACCTTTTGTTGCTTGCTTTAAAGGGACACCGCCAGGAGCGAAATCCATTTTGGGGAGGTCCTCAAAAAGGGCACGCCCATGTACTCTTACCAACATGTTGGGTTGCCGGGGGGGGTTTGCCTGGACCAAATGACGGTCACGCCGGACGTGGGTTGGGAATTGCGCAAATCCTACGCAAATAGCAGCAAGTTGTGGCTTCGGCGCGATCAAAGAATGCCACCAACACTTTGATGCACCCAGGCCCCGCTGCCTTGTATACGTATGCAGACAAGTCATGAGCTGCGCTGAGAACTCGCTCAGAACTTCCGTTCCTGCTCGGTACCGAGAGCGCAGCAGGTAGCAAGAAGACCCCAAGCCCTCTTGGACACCAGGTGTCTAAGACCTCGTAGAGCGCGCAGATAGCGGAGAATTCACATGGCGTGTAGGGCTGGGAGCTCAGGATCGACTAGTTCGAAGCATGGGTTGGCCTCGACATGCTGGAAACATGGACCCGTGTTCTTTCCTCCCCCCCCCCCCCCCCGGCTCCCTCCTCCCCTCCCCCTTGACAGCGGCGAACACGCTGAGGATCGGCACGCACAGTCCGGGCAAACCCTCCGTCAACCAAACATGTTGGAGACTCTTCCCATGGAGCTGAGCTTCGGGGACTCCGCGGGGCTCTCGCGGCTGCTGTGCATCGTAGAGACTGTGTCCATGGTGGCGTCCAAGGGCTGGTCCTCCCCAAAGAAACGAAGCGTTGGAATGGAGCCCGAGTAAAGAACACTGCAGATGTTCCAAAAATCCAGAAACGATTCCAGAGAGAAAGACATAAAAAAGTAGAAAGATATGGAAAGAAGGAAAGAAAAGAATCCCACCACCTAAATTGGTTTACGGGCGGAGCAAGCCCCAAGTCGGTCCAGGTTTTCCTTGCCCAGGAAGGACTTCTCCGAGCTCTCCTCGTGGTTGGCGGAGCTACGGTGCTCCAAAACCTCCTGCGCCTGAGCAGGCCCCCCATCGTGTGGTTTTGGTTTCAGCGTCTGGCAGCGGCATCCCTGTGCTTCCCTCGCGTTCGGTTTTCAAGTGTGGCTCGTGGCAAACATCCATTGGAGGAAGAAGCGGCCTTGGTCTTCGACCACCAATTATCCAATGGCAGGGCCTGCTGCAGCAGCTGCACAGCGCTGGCGCAGCGCTGGTCCGAGTCCGCTAGGTGCTCCCGGAGCTGGCGGTTCTCCTAGCAGCCCAGCGGCGCGGAGACAAGCAACGTACACAAACATAGGTCGCGTTCCTGCTGAGTACATCTGGTTCATCAACTCGTAATTTTGCTGTGTTTTTTTTGCCTTCTCTTTCCTTTTTTTTTCGCCTGTAGAGTTCACTGCTCTTTCTATTGATTTAGCTCCCTTCACTGCGTGTCAATGCGCGTGGCCCTGGGCCGGAGACGCATCAAAACGTCAAGGGAGCCTTCGGCGCACGCTTGGTTTGCTTCGTTTGGGGGGAGGCTCCCAAGGTCAGATGGAACACTGAAGGGAACCCCCCCCCATACCACGGTCTAAGATGGCGAATGGACCCCACTATCAGGCAACCCAAAGTTGGTGGTTTGGATTTGGTGGTTGGGCCCTGCTTCTTGTAGGCAGATGGGAACCACTTTCCTCCAAGCCACCAATCCAAACCAACCAGCTTAGGGAAGTTGATACGGGGAATTTTCGACAACCCTTCAACAGCCAAACCCACGAACCATGGAACCCACACACGCTGGCGCGCATCGCAGTGCTGCACGTGGCCTGAGGAGTTTGGGGAGCTGCTTAAAACGAGGGTCTTTCCAAAGGTTTCTCAAAATTATGTGCCAAGAGTGTGCCTCACATTCTCTCAAAGTGGACCCCGTTGGTCGGTGTTTTGCAGGGACCAGCAAACCCGGTCCCTTCCGAAAGTTGTTGAGAAGCCTCCAAAGGAAAGCCTCCAAAGGACCGCCCCGCCCCCCCCCCTCCCCCACTTCCAAAAAAGAAAACACCCAAAAATCGGTTTCCCCTTTGGTTTGACCCACCAATCGTGGCTTGTTCTTTGGCTTCCCTTTTGGCTTGGGGGAGGATTTTTTTCATATTCTTAAGAAGGGGAAGCCCAAGAACAGGAAAAAGAAAAAAGAGGCCTATCCCCTCTTGATTAAGGGTTTGGGTTGGGATTCAAAACCAATGGTACCATTTTGGGGTGGGATTTTTAACATCCCATTTGCCACAGTTTGGGGCTTGGGTTTTCACCCCCAGCCAAGGCCAGGGCATCCGGTCAAGGCCGCGGCATCCGAACGAGTCGGCCGAGGATCCACGCGACGAGACGCTCGGGGGCGGAGAAAAATTCGGCGCCGAGGCGGTGGAGTTACTGGGAGTGGGCGAAAAAATCGACTTGGTGCCCAAGCAAAGTGGCTCATCAAAATCGGATCCTTACAGTGAAAAAACCTGACACATTGCCACTTGTAGATGGTGGTGTCCCTTGATTTTGGTGCTGAAAAAGCAACATGTTTCAAATGGTTTCAAAACGTATTCCGGCGTTTGGAGTTCTTGAAGCTCTGCCCCCAAACTTCTTCTCCCATGATGCTCATGAACTTGTCCGGCTTGGTTTTGAGCCACTCCTCCCGCAAGTGCTCGAACTCCTGGCGCATCTCCGATGTGAAGACGTCTCCCTCCTGGAACTCTTCGCTCCCCTCGAACTCTTCGCCCTCCATGTACTCACCCTCCTGGCGAATCGGCGAGTCGGCGAGTCGACGACAGAAGCCCAGAGGGACGGAGCAACTCTGTTTGGGGGGTCCCATTCCTGCTTTAGGAAGCACCCAAGTGCAGCTCACCTCGGCAAGAAACAGCTCTTCACTGCCCACGCCTCGCCACCTTCCCCCTCGCCGCCCTCGCCCTCGCCGTTGGCCCCCACACTGCGGCGGCGCCGGCGCACGGGCGCCGGGGTCTCCTCCTGATCGTTTGAAACAAGAAATGCCTTGTCTTAAAGTGTTGGCGCCCCCGGAAATGGTGTTTCTAATTGTCGGTTTCCTTTGCTTGAACAAATCTGCTTTCGGTTTTTCGGTCAAGGGGTATGCCCAGAGTTTGGTTGAACAGATTCTGCCATGGTCTCCTGCGGCTGGTTCTCCTCGCCCATCTCAATGATCACCCCCTGCGATCCGGCGGGGAGGATGTCCGGCAAACGAAGGCAAACCAGGGGAAACCAGTGTGTAAACCTATAGCTAAAAGTCAACATGCCTGGTTCTCATTTGCCATCACCAGGAAATTCGGGTTGGTGCGCAGTTGGTGTGCTTGAGGATCCTCCTAGGAACATGCCCGTCCCTAAGCCCGGCCTTCTCCAGCATGGACAGGGCGAACTGCACGTGGGCCAAGCGGCCCCGCGCCTGGCCCACGTTGGCCATCTTGTCGCGGAGGACGGTGTTGACCTCGCCCGCTTGAGTGGGTGACCCGGAAACGCCGCCTCGCTGTTTCATAGACGCTGCGGTTGTTCCGGCCCCCAACTGGCTGTGCGCAAAATGCCGGGGGCCCCTTCAAGTAGCTGATTTCCTCCTGGTTTCGTTGAGAACAAGCAGGGCTCAACTGATTTTGATATGTCTCGCATTGAGCCTGAGGAACGGGGTAAGCCGCGCCTTGCCGTGCTTCTGCCTGATGCGGCCAATGCCCTCTTCCATCTTCTCGCCTGCGCAGGGTAACAAGCAACTGAGAGTACCATGTCGGGGACAAAAATCCCAAAGGGGGAAGTCTTGACGGTCATCTGCTAGGTGGCTTCAACTGGGACACCTACAGCGTGGAATGTACCCATCGTTGCCACCTCGAGGGAAATGGCCCCCGTCACATGGACCGCTTCAATGACTGCGACATGGCCTGATACACGTTCGGGCCCCAAAGCCGGAGAGCTAAGCCCAGCCAAAGGCAGGAAAAGGCCGTTCCAGCAACTTCCCCCGGCTGCAAAATTGAGGAGCGGTTGGCTACGGCACCCTGGGATGATATTTGCAGGAAAACCACTGATTGGAGGGCTCCTTGAAGCGTTCGGGTGGGAGCCTTGGAGCCTAAGCCAGCGGAGTCCCATGGAAACCCAGGGATGCCCAGATAACACAAAGGACCGGTACCTCCAAGTAGACAAGAGCGTGGAACATTCAAAATTTGTGAATGATGGCCATGCCTACATGCCAAGGTGCATATGGGTAGCAAACAAGAGGGGTACATGATGGCTGACCACCAAGACCACTGAGGGTCCATTCAAAAAACACATTATTGTTTCAAAACATCGTTTCGATCCACGTTGGTCCCCAGACTCCCAAACGGTGGGACACGCGGCCTTCGCGGTTCTTCTTCACCGTGGCCTGCTGCGCCTGCTGCTCGGTGCGGGACAGCTGGCCAGTCAGCTTGTTCACCTGGGCATGCGGCTTGTCTTCAGGGAAAACCCTACAACGTCTCTGAACAAGGGAAACCTGAAAATAAATGGGTTGTTGGCTTTGGTTTCCGTTCCAGAAAAGAACATGCCCCTTTCGATTTCGAAAACACGGCCCAGCAAGCGACGCCCGCACAAAGCGAGAGAAGGACAACGCAACCAAAGAAGGACTGAGTCAAATTGCGGGTTTCAGGAAAGGCGGTTTCATGTCACGTAGTGGACTTGGAGCGAAACTCTGGGCCCACCAAAGTAGAGGTGAAAGGGTTTGTTCCTTGAGTCGGCTATGTTGTCCGCGGTTCGGCGGGACAGTCATCGGCCACACTCTCAGGGTTTTGTTTTCTCGGTACCCTGTTGAACCATAGCAGAGGAGGTCAGGGTGCCGACCGCGACGTTTCAGCCCGCCTCCTGCTCGCTCTTGGTGAGGCCCCTCTGCGCCTGCTGCAGCTCCCGGCTCAGCTTCTTCTTGGCTTCCCGCAGCTCCTGCCGAAGGATACAACAGCTCCCGCCAAAGAGGAGATTTCATTTGTGTTGCAGATATATGGACCCCCCCTCCCCCACCTAAGGAACAGAACTCAAGCCCACCTAAGGAACAGAACTCAAGAAGGGTCCTACACACGGCGAAAGGTCAGGGCTCCCTACTCCCCAGGCTTCCTGGAAACAAAACGTGAGCCACTTTAGATTGCCCCAAGAAGCGAGGGGAGAAACAGGTGCTAAAGAACTATTTTGCACACATAGGAATACAGGGCCCGCTCCCATGCATAATCCCGTAATCCCGGAATGTGGGCACAAGAGACGTCATCTATGGAGGGGGGGGTACGACATGGGACTTTTGTCGAGTTTGCAAGTTATTGGTTTCTGACTTCCCCATTCTGATACATTGCTCTTGAATGAGCTTCCTCCAAGATTGGGGTTTCAGGTTCCAAGTTCATTTGTGTATGCAGTCACAAATGCCCGAGACCTCCAAACCTGACTTTAAAGCCATCCAATAAGGGGTGCACCTTTCTACTCAGCCCCACGTTTCGCCTGTGCCCGCCTGTGTGCGCTTGCGCTCTGCCAGCTTCTTCGCGCGCTCCTGCGGACTGCCGAGTCAGGAGATCCTCAACCCTTAAGGGGCACATGGGGCCCTTGGGTATTGGGGTAGGTTGGGAACTAGACCGAAGGGACGACGCCCTTGGATGAGCTGGGTTACGGGGCCTCCTGCAGGCGATCGGTGGAGAATGAACGAATCGTTCCCCATCCCAAGCCAACGGTTCAATACCTCTGTCACTGCATGTGTCTCCGAGCGAAACGCGGATTCGCAACCACAATGAAATTGATCATGGCCTCTTGGCCTTTTGGGCGAATGTGCACCATGATGGAGTGCTGGCCAAATTCCACCGTCGCTCAAAAGCTGCAAGATCTCTCAGACCCCCTCTCTGCCCGCTCACTTCTGCCCCTCTCCTCGTTCTTCTGCTGGGTCTCGAGATCCCTGAGCTTGGCCATCAACTCCGGGTCCTTCTGCGGGGAGCTTGCCCGCGGGTTGCCTCGCGCTGTGGCCGGCCGCATGGCTTCGAAGGCTTTGCCTTTCAACAGCGGAGTCGGTGGGGTCCGGAAAGCGCTCGAGCCACGCGCTGCCGGCCGTGAAAGCGCGGGGCGTTCTGGACACTCAGCCGCAAGACACCAGGGCGGACGATGGAGCTGCGCTCGCCAATGTCCAACTGCAAAGCTGGGAATGGCAAACTCTGCTCGACAACTTTGCTTTGAAATCCAAAGGGCGGCAACCACCTCAAGGTGGACCCGTACACAGACTGACACATGCTCAAAATACAGGGCACCGCCAACGCGCTGAGGGCGTCTCCCCTACGAGTGAGCTACAATCAGTATCAATCAGACACCCCAAATCGTGGGTGTCCAAGCGGGATCTGAATTTCCAATGAGTTTAACCCTCGTGGCAAATCTGCTTTTGCTCTTTGGGTAGTTTTTTTGCCATTTGCTTTGACCCAACCTTTCGCAGATCGGGGTACGTGACCAAAACAGGAGATGCCTCAAGGCTCCATTGGATCAACAAGAGGGTTCCAGTGATTGGAACCCAACATTAACCTGTCTGGGCGACGAACTTGCATGTCCTTTTCGAGTGCTCAGAATCTAACAGGTCTTTCAATCTTCAACCGAGGCCACTCTCAGGCATTATCTCCAAACCCAGCTTCCCGCCTGCCTTGGTGGAAGCCCACAATTGGTGATTGGTTCCAAAAGGAAGCGCTCTGGACCCGTCGCCTCAATGATGATCTGTGGCTTGAATGGACTCGTGCTGATGCTTGCAAATGGCCGGACCCAGGTTTGTGTGTGCGCTGTGTCCTGCTTCATGTCAACACATGCAAACACAGGTGACCTTTTGGAAAAATTAGACGGCCCTAGTGAATGGACACCTATGCAAGCAACTTCACTGTTGGAGGGCTGCATTCGCCAAGCCCTTTGCATTTCACTGCTATGTTTGTCCAATACTTAAGCCAATGCTGCGGGCGATCCAGGTCCACCAATGCCTCCCAACTCAAGATTATTTGATGACGAGTGTACTTGTTTGATACCCTTTTTCAGTTTGGTTGAAAGGGACACCAAAAGGACACCAAAAGGACATGGGGTCCTATGTCGACACATACCCAAAATGGATAAGACTGGTGGGGCAAGGCCGAACCGCACGAGAATCGAATCCCCTGTGCTGGGAAACCTGACACGTGACACGGCCGAGAGAACATGATTTCAAGAACTCAATCATGCCAGCAAATGGGTGGCTGGCTCGTCTTTCTTTGAGTTGATACCCTGCTTTTTGCTGGGTTTCAAAGGGAAACCAAAAGGCAAACCGCTCATTTTGGTGGTTCCCTAAAAAAAAGAGGCACCCAAATGTATCTCAGGCCTTCGATGGACCGCGTGCGGTTCCCCCATTCCATTGAGCGTAAGCAAACATCTCCTTTGTCTTGTTTGGTCCTTTGCTCATTCGTCACGCCCAGTGGATATTTGGCAAGCCACGTAATCAGCCCATTCTCCGGCCACAGTGTTTGAACTTGGCCTTCAAACCGAACACACGCTGAAGCCTGAGCTCTCTGCACAAGGGATTTTCGCTTGCTAGATGCATGAATTCGAGCCCACATTGAGATCTGCCCGAGGCCAAAGTCCACACTCGCACTTGCCAAAGCACGCTAGAAAGAAGAGGCATATATATATATATATGTATTGTACAGAAATACAATCACACATTAAACGCATATGGACATGGAAATATGCACATCGGTAATATTTGAACACTACATTATGAAGAGATATAGGTGTACAAACAAGAACTGGTGTAGGCGATGGCACGCGCAAGGTTCGCATGCACTCCTCTCAGGCATCCGTCCCGGGCGGGCCATTCCGTCTTCGGAGCCCGAAGCTTCGCCGCGCGAGGGTGGCGCCCCAAAGGAAATTCCGCGACTGAAAGGCGACGGTCATGATGAGAGGGAAGTGCCATTGTATGTAAACTAGGGACAACCCTGAATCAGAGCTTCCTTTTTTGGCCATCCCCCCCCCAAATCAAAAAAGAAGAAAAGGTGTACCCTCAAGCTCCTCCCAGTCAAACATGTTGCTTTGCAAACGCGATACGCAGAACGCCGCGCTGTGATGAAATTCATCTGGCCAACAAAAAGCGCCTGAGGGGCAAACCGAAAAAGCGAGTGCTCTTGCCACCTTGGCTTTCGGAAGAGGCTAGGTGCCCCTATGGAAAAATCGATTGGCTTCCTACAGTATCTTCAAGCACAGCTCACCTGAAAGGGCCTCGTGCAGGGTCGCATGGGCTCTTCTCCGAACCGGGCGGCCGACGGGTGAAACCTCGAACGCGCCAAGAGCGCGCAGCCCAGCCCTCACCTCCGTGTCCTCGGCGGTTGAGGTTTGGGCGGGACCCCGCACGAGACACCGAAAACCAAGAGGTGCAGAAAGGCCAGGAATATCAGGTCCCGGCCTGCACCCCATGGAGGATTTGCATCAATGTGTTCTTCTTTTCTTTTCTGGCAATGGTCCGAGAAAATTGGGCCGGGGGGTGCCATGGTGTCAGGCACACGGAGTCAGCCCGAAGCCCCAAGCCCGAAGCCCAAAGCCGAAGAGCGAAGCGCAGCTGGCCCCCCGGCGATCTCGCGGTGCTGGTGGTCACCGGCCGCTCCGGAGCCATGCCTCTCCGAAAGCGGTGAGCCAAGCCCACGGAAAGCCGAGGCTTTCCCGGGATTCAACATGGGGAGCTTCACGGAAAGGCCAAGGGCTTCGGAGGGGCCAGCGGAAAACCTCGGAAAGATCTTTCCGAATGGATCTTATTGAGTTGCGCTCTTTTTTCCCATGGCTTTTGGAGGTTTGGCTGGTGGTTTTCACTGTTTTGGGTTTTTGTTTCGTGGGGGGGGGAGGGGGGACTGGCTTCTGGTTGCATCTGTTTCTGGGTGTTTGTTTGAAACGCAAAGGGAATTGAGTTGGACGTCTTCTTTCTTGGAGGACTTGCAGGCAGAACATGTCTTTTCCTGTGGATGTCTCTAAAAGAAACCCCTGCTTGAGGGTGGTTTCTTCTAAAAAACACCCCACAGGAGAAACCACAACCACCCCATGAACCCCCCCTGTAAGAACAAGGCCCAAGTAAAAGGGGAAAACTCCGCACCGCTCTGGGCGTTGGGGGGAAATCGGGAACACCGAAGCTCGGGACCGCCACGACCGGCTTTTTTTTCGGCCTTCCAGCACCTCGGGATAGCTTTGCAGCATCTCCTCGAAGCCTCCGAGTTCGAAAGCGGCGCCGGCTCGGGGCGACGCCGCTTTCGAAGAGCCCTTTGCACCAGCCCCCAAGATCGTGCGCATCCGCCCTCAAGCAAGGGCCACGCGGAGAGAAAAACCCCTCTGACGCCTCGGGATCCGGTTTCTTTGTCTTCGTCGCAAAGAACAACGTTGCAACCCCATGCCGACCCCAGAAAGCACATAGAACCTCTGGTCTTGGTTTACCAAAAAACAAAACCGGAAGCGCAAATGACGGTAAGCATTTCGGCGCAAACTGTCACGTATCAGCACCAACCCGAGCTTTGCAGACCATCTGGGCCCCACGCCACCGGTCAGGGCGTGCACATTGTCCCAGCCCTGCGAGCACGAATGGCACCCAAGGCAGATGGTACGCAAGCCAGTTTAGCGACACAACAAGAGGAAGACACAAGGGACACACGCGCGTTTCATCTGCACATATGAATGCCCATGCACATGTGTATCTTGAATATGTATATGTATATATATATATATACATATATATATATATATGTATATATATATATATGTGTATATATATATATATATATTTATTTATTTAATTTTCTTACACGTCATATTCTCATGTTTTTGCGCGGAAAATCGCAAGAAATGGATTGCCTCCTGTTCAAAACGATCCGAAAGCTACAAGTTTTGCCCAAGTTGAGACCTCCACAAAATCTTTTTGTTGGTTTCCACAACTCCCTATGTGCCATGAAATCCAGACGCAACTTGGAACTGGACAACTGCACAAAACAAGCGTAAGCCCCGGGCCCAACGAAAGCAGTTGTTGGCAATGCCAACAAGCTCCGGTAGCTCAGCCAACCAAACGAGCAGCCAACCCAATTGCCGCCTGTCGAAAAAGAATATCTCCCTGCGCCACTAGGTTTGGGCGAAGCTCTTCGAGGGCCTTGTTTGAACAACAATCCGAGCCTTTGCTTTGTTTCTGTTTTGTTTCCTGTTTAGAAACAAGAGACTAAATG